AGGGAAAGAAAGACAAATATGGAAACCTTTTCAAGAAACAACCGAATCTCTACAAGGCTCTGTATAACAGGATGGCCCTCAATAGAAAAGCCTTTCGCCTTCCTCAGCAAATAATAAACAAGACACTGGCAATAACTTAGAAGTAACAAATGCTTGGCCTCAAGATAGCTAGCCCATCAGCTGTCAGATAACTGTTTGCTTTTACCTATGATAAAGAATAGAAAACTGTCAGACAGTATGCATTAACACGATGCACGTTCAATTCCTCCTTGAATATTGGTAATCATAGATACAGTCCATAGACTCTAACTTGGCAAAAGATAAAGCAAACCCGGCATCTTAATCTAAAATGTGAAAGTAAGTAATCGGTTATGTTTATGCCAGAGTAAAATATGAATAATTTCCAAAATTAGATACTATAACACATTTTCTACCTTTGTGGTTAGATCTTCCACTTTGCTCCTGACCACATCTAGGCCTGTCTTCATTTCTCGTAACACTGAAGCTAATTGAGGAACTTCTCTGTGAGAGCGTTACAAAAAAGACAACTGATTTATTTTCATGCCAAACGTAAGAGGTCCATATAAAAAAAAGAGAATCATACATGAGTTTTCCATGAAAGCAGTTGATTCATTGCCCATCTGATTTATTTCTTCTCTTGGCTAAACCCAAACAGACAACTGTGTCAAAGATAGATAAGAACAATGCTGATAATCATAAGCAAACTTACTTCTTTAATCTTTCCTCAGGGCATGGGACAGCGATCTTGTTCATGATCCTTTTTCAACTATGAGCACAGAAGATAACCTGTAAACAAACGAGTGTGAATGTTCATAGACCATCTCTGGGAAATCGAAACAGGGCCCTCGGATTAATTCATATAAAAAACTAAACCAAATTACCCAAGAAACAAATTCCTCAAACCCTGAAGCTAGAAAAGGGCAGAGTTCAGATATAAAGATTTTTCAAGGTATTGTTTATCCCCTCATCCTACATAGAACCCGAACCGCTAATAAAGAATACAGATACGCAGATTCAACCAAGCTTCTGACAGTCCTCACTCTTACTATTTCCCAGCCACCAAAAATACCAAAAAAAGTTTCACAAATTTAGGAAGAACTAAGCATTATGTGTTCTCGCCAAATTCCGAGAAGAAACCCTACTACATATATAGAAAAAAGAAGAAGAAGAAAAAACAACAACAATGAAGCACGTCTACCAATATACTAAAGCATAAAAATTCAACCCCTCGAGAAAACTAATGCCACAAACAATGGCGGAACCAAATGAAAATCTGATTAACTAAAAATGTTGAAAGATTTTCATAGATGCAACAAAAAACTAGGCTTAGGCTTCCAAAAAACCAACAACCAGCAGAGCAGATCGGACCCCATGAAAATCGTTAACGGTGACAGAGATTATGAAAAGGAAGACGAAGAAGGAACATAAGATAACTCACCGGAGATATAGAACGGCGGCGATCGACGGGAAGAGAGCAAAGGACGGAGAAGTTGGCGAGAAGAGGAAGTTACAAAAGGAAAGCGCTGAAATCTTTTTCCCATTGGGAATTTGGGACATAGGGTTTAAGATTGCGAATAATTAAATTACAGTTTTTTCGTTTTGTTGGCCTCCGATATTTTAGAAATTACATTTCTACCTCATACTTTTAAATTTTGGGAAAAACCCAAAGTATTAACTTAACTCCGTTCCTTCTTAGAATAAATCTGAGTATGATGACAAATAATCCTGAAGAAAGTTTAATGATTTGTTTTTTGTTTCAATATTTCTATTTTTATGAATGAAATCAGACATTCGAAAATTTGGGTGTGTGTATTAACCCGAGAAAGTATGCAAATAAAATTCTTTCTAATTCTGTCCCATCAAGATCTGGGGGCAATTGGAGCACAATAAAAATTAAGAGTCCAAAACTCGAAACAATAAATAGATAATATTAAATGAAAATGTTACCCTAAGAAGTGCACAACTCGGAGTAATGCCACAAAAATATTAGAGATGGAAACCGCAGCCCGGAGCAAAGACAACAATTATCGCCGACTCTGAAAAACCCAAATCTGTTTTCCTTCGTCGTCTCGTCTTTGTCTTCTCTTCATCTTCGTGTATGCTTGTGGGATAATTCTCGTAATCTTCGTTTCTGGAGCTGCGAGGGAAAAAAGGGAAGGAGAAGGCATGGCGAAAGGCGACGATGCGGTGATGAGGAAGAAGAACAGAGTGATGAGGAAGAAACTGAATAGTAAGAACGATTCTTCCACTGTCTCTGCTCGCATCGCCTCCATTATCGCCGCCAAGAAGCGACGCAAGTCTGGCAAACGCCGAATGTGCCAGGTATCATTCTTTCTCGAGGAAGAGAGAAAAGCCCATATGCTCAAAAAGATCGTCTCTTTAAATGTGGGTGTTTTCATATGATTGCGTAGCTTGATTTAGGGCTCCTGGAAGTGGAAATCACTGTCTCTTGAATGTGATTTGGCCCCCATTTTTTGTGGGTATTTTCTATTATTTGATGTCTGACTGCGGGTTCGCAAAATGTTTGAAAATTTCTTGTGTTGTTGTTTGATTTGATGGTTGGATCAGCTAATCTGGTTTCTGTGGTCTTTATTGTTTCTGTTCGGGAATTTTTTTTGTGCCCATTTGTTGATGTTTTGAGTTTCATCAAAAGTGGGAGCTTCTCACTTGTTTGTTGTGTTATCGCAGGGAATGTGTTTCAGCCTCCCTACTGCTGAAGATCCCTTCAACGATAGGCATGATAAAGTGGAGATTATCAAAAAGAAAACGAAGAAGGTAAAGAGTAAGAAAACCCTTTCGGAAAAAGGGTCCTTTCACAAAATGGGAGATGATGAGACGCTGAAAGAAGACAAGAAAACATCTGCTGTGTTGGTTAACAGTGTTGGGCACAAGGGTGGCGATAAATTAGGTGGAGAGGACATTCAAATTTCTAAGAAACAAGGTAAACTAGGTGGTCAGATGCTGATCAGCGAGAACATGGATGGTCCAGCAAAGTTTCTGATTCTGTGTCTGAATGAAATAGAGAGTTCCTTCCGTATTGATGGTACCTACAGTGAGCAAAATGAGAAGCCTTTGTTTGTTAACCCGTGGGGAATTGAGTTCTGGAGATGTTTCTCAGATGGAAAAGACATTCTAGAGACAAGTGGGTCATCTTCAACCATAGAACAAATTGCATGGATTGTTTCAACTGCAGCAGATGCTATGGCAAGAAGGGAGAAGCAGGGTTTAGCCGTCAGCATCCCTTTTCTTTTATTCCTTGTACCATCTCACTCCAAAGCTTCCAAGGTCATGCTCGCTTCCTCTAGTCCTTATTTTGTATATAGTTGTGATTATACTCCATTTAACATTAGCTATAGACTTTCTATGATTACTTGATAAAGATGAATCTGAATGATTTGGTTGTTATTTTGTCTATAGTTGTGATTATACTCCATTATCATCACGAAATTACGAAATTTGACAGATTATATGCGTATTTTATCTTGGCATTAGATTTATTAGCTTGGTAGAATGTCTTTGCACTCACTTCAGTCTTTCTTCATATGATCAGGTCCGATCTGTTTGCAAGCCGCTGAAAGATCTTGGAATACATACAGTGTGCTTACACCCTGGAGCTTCTCTAGATCACCAAATTTCCGGGTACTTCTGATCAATCTGTTTGAGATTTTCTGTCTGCTTTGTTTCAGATAGATGCTATGTCGTTGCTTATATGAAGGGTTTTGTCATGTTTGTTTCTAAAAAGAGGTTTTCTGTGGTGTAGGTTGAAGAGCTGCGAGCCTGAGTTTCTAGTGTCTACCCCTGAGAGGCTTTTGGAGCTTGTTTCTCTAAAGGGTATTGATATTTCGGGGGTTTCATTGCTGGTATGCTAAATTCTGTCTCCTGATTCTGTTACTCATTAGTAACTGGTCAAACATTTTTTGTCTCCAAGAGAACCTTTTTCGATCTCAGCCAGAACGGAAAATACAATTCAGAGTCTTCCATAAAAATAATTTTTGGCAACTTCTATTTTCTCTCGGATTTTTATGCCAGTTTGTATTGCTTTCAGGTAATGGTCTAGATCTGTATCTTAACATCGTTTATTTGTCCTTTGTAGTTTCCGGAAGGTGAATTATGTTTGCATGCTAGAATATGTTCATATGCATTACCTTTTTATTTTTCCTTTGGAACCAGCAGATTACTGTTTTGGCCTTTTGTTTTGTTGATGAGCTTGCCTCCTGGATAAGAAGCCTTTGCCCCCGACCCCCCCCCAACGGGTTCAGATCACACAATGAATATAGACCAAAAGCTCGTCTCCAAACAAACGTACCCATTGCGAGATTTCTTCAAGTGCTTTTCTCTCTTCTTCTCTTCCCTTGTACGTGGAGCACGAGCAAAGAGCTCCTCTTCCATCTTTTCTCGTCTTTCCCACTGCGCTCTGAACTTCTTCAGTTCCTTGCTCTCAGCCCCGACAACGTCTCTTATCTGAATTCAGCCGCTCAGTTAGAAGATCATCACAATCATGTCTTCTAAATCATATTCCTGCAAAACAGAGAAGCAGCCAAAACCTACCTCTTCAGGTCTATCCTCGAGCTCATCAATCACTTCTTTCATGTATGTACCTTCTGTCGCTTGTCTTACCCCCCCCCCCCCCCAAAAAAAGCAGCTAATTTTATTGCAAACTATTCTCTGCTATTTCAATGTTTCAGAGGAAAACAATAACCTTTGAATATATTGTTGGATTTATGAGTTACTGATCATGCTACTATCTTGATCTTCATCGTTTATAGAGGGTAGCCCTCACTTCCAATTGCTATTTCATGCATGGTCAGGTGATTGATGAGCTAGGATCACTTAGCAGCGGGGGTTGTCTTGATGCACTTAAAAGCATTAAGCAGACAATTTCTAGCAATCACCGTACCATAATCTTCAGCGATAGTCATAAGGCATCCAATGTATCGGGCGCTCAGAGTCTTCTAGCAGGATCCATTAGCAGAGTCTCCCTCAACGATTCTGTTGCTAGCCAAAGCTTCGGAATCATCCAGTCTGTAAATATCTGTGCTTCAGATGACGAAAAGCTGCAAAAGGTGTGTGCTTTTTTTTCACATGACTGTAAATTCCATCAGCATAGGTATTAAATTTGCCTACAAGAAAGCAGTGTTGATTCTCAGAAAGTTTTCTGAAGTACCGAAACAAAGAAGTAGTGTATAAAACCTGCGTAAGATCTGTCATACAAAGCACAATTTTATATAATGTCTCTGTTACTGAAGGCAAGCGTTGAATTTTTTCAGTGCGCGGAGCTTCTGGATTCACATTCTTCAAAGGTTCTGTACATCATGAGGAAGGAAGACAGTCTTCAAAAGTTGAGGGTTCTCCTTAAGCTCAAGGGCTACTTGGTTTCAGGCAAGAAAGACTCTAAAATTTTAGAGGTCAAGAAGAGGTGAGCTCCTGAATCTTGTCTTGTCTAAAATTTTCGGTATATCTGTTCTTTGCAAACATCTTCTTTACTACTTGTTTTTGTTCTTGGCTCAGCGGGAAGCCCTCAGCTTGCCTGATCGATTTGGAGCAGTTGGATGATGCTACGGGTATCGAGGAATTTGAATCTGTCGTACTTCCTGATTTCGTTCCAGCAACAGAAACTTACGTTGAGATCCTCACGAAGATGGCCAGGCAGAGCGTGCAGGGGTTATTGCAGAGCTTTTTAACGGAAAATGAGGCTTCCTCCTCGGCTGGATCTTCTTTGGTGAAAGTCCTCGAGGAATGTGGACATGTTGTGCCGGAGGCCTTGAGAAACCTGTCTTGAAATGGATGACTGATCAGTGTACCCATTTTTGTCAGCTGCAGCAAGTTTTGGTTGGAGAAAAAGCCTTTTGAGGTAGAGCAAAGCAAATTATACGTAATCTCCTAAAGGCTTGATGTCTTTTTATGGGTGTGTTAGCTCTTAGTCTATGGGAAGCTCTTCTCCTATTTTGTTTTTGGATCAAAATTTGTCATTTAAGTTACAAACAATCATTCTATTATTCGTTTGATGGGATTTGAAATATAAACATATAGACTGAATTTATTGCATGCAACTTCACATCAGACAAGTCAATGGTCGCCTGCTTTGGGGCATGTAAATATCTAGATGATGATTTCTTAAGGAGAAGAATCATGTAACCATTTTTTCCCTGTCTTGATCATTGCAAGTATCAAAATAGAGGTTTCTGTTCTTTGCCCTAAAGCCAAAACCTCAGCTACTCTGAAATAGATTTTGATTACAGAGTCTGAAATCTCTTCTATTCAGTCATGTCGGTTTATATTGACACAAGGAAGTAAAAAAGAATTCAAGACACCGAAAAGAGTGGTCGACCTTTTCCATAAAATGGAGTCAAGAAGATACCCAAGTCGCAAAGCCTCAACCTTTTTTATTTTTGTTGGGTGCCACAAAATGTGGGTCGCAAGCTGCACAGCCTCCGGACACGTGTCTCCTCCTCTACCCAATATCTCCCAGCCGTTACCGCCGTTACCCAAACCGGCGAAACATCTCTCCGCCGTCAAAAATCCGCCCATCGGCGTCAGATTGGGCAGGAGATACGTGAACCTCTCCGTTCTCACGCTTCTGTTCAATGGGTTATGGCCGGAGAGGGCGAAATCCGTGGAAGATGATGCGTCAGGATCCGGAGAGCTTCAGAGGTACACTGATTCTCGGGAGGGTTTCACTCTTCTCGTGCCATCTTCTTGGATTAAGGTCTGTTTCCCTCGCTCTGTTCGATTATATTATGCATTGGGTTTACAAGTTACAGTCATAGTAAGGGAAAGATTACACCTTCAAATGCGATTTCATCCTGCATTTGATGTTACTTTGCATACCTAGACTTGTCTTCAATGATCACATGAAGATGCCCACAAGGCTGTAGACAATACAGATGATAATGGTACTGGAATACGATGAGAAATTGAAATTCAGTTGCTTTCTGTTGATGTTCTTGAGGGAAGAGTGTTTTTGTTTTTTGCTTTTTTGTGTTGCTTGTGTAACTGAACACAATGGATGGGGGATAAGGTGGAGAAAACAGGGGCGACGGTTCTATTCGAACAAGCAGACAAAGGGAGAAACAATGTCGGGGTTGTAGTGAATCCTGTTCGTATAAAGAGCCTTGCAGAATTCGGTCCTCCTCAGTTTGTCGTCGATAAACTCATCCAAGCTGAAAAGCGGAAGGTAGCTTAAAAATTATCTCCCCTTTTCTATTTTGGGTTCTAAGAACAGCCAAAGAGAGTTTGAACTATGAGAATAGATGGGTACCCGAATGGAGAAATATCCGCGGGTACTCGAAATTCAGGAACCCGAGCCCTTGTCATGCCTCATGGGTACCCGACCATCATGAGACCGAGAGTGAGTACTCCTGACCGAAAAACCTAAGTTGGGTGACCAAAAAATCTCAAGTACCTGTCCATGCCCACCCCTAGTTCAAGTCGCTCGATTGTGCGAAGAATCAGTAGAGGTATTGTATGAACTCTTTTTGTTGTTTTTCAGGAGAGCACAAAGGATGCAGAAGTCGTATCAGTAGCGGAGAGGACGGGCAAAAGAGGATTACCAGTATACGAATTCGAATACAAACTCGATAGCACGCGGGGTGGAATGAAGATGATATTTTCCGCTGCATTTGTCAACTCCAATAAGCTTTATCTGTTGAACATCTCGCATTCAGACCAGCCAGATAGTCCTCTTGATTCGCGGACAAGAACTATGTTGGAACAAATTCTTCACTCCTTTGATGCTGTCCCTTTGACATAAACACAGAAGAAAAGTAACATTCTTTCTTTCATCCATCTATTATATCTTGTTTTTCTTTTGACATGAAATAGATTGCTCAAAAAACGGATAAATCTAACTTGCTAAATCGAGATATTTCTTTCTATATGTATCTTTCACTGTCTTAATGCTGCTTTGTGTAAAACAAAATCTAACAGAACTATATGATCAACAACACTTTGATCACTTACGGTGTTTCTCTGTTCTGTTCTGTTTTTTCAGTTGATGGTCATTAACGGAGCTCGAGACTCTGTTACGGGCAAACCATTGCTACTGTGTTTTGCCTCTCCATTTGCTAGTTGTTTGGTAAATTTCAAATCTCTGAAAGTCTTCAAGAGTTCTTCGAATGCCGGAGTTTTGAGTTCCTCGATCGATCCAATAGTCGGGATGTTGTAATTTCTCTTCCTCGGCGTTGAACATGACGGTACATCCAACTAACCAAAGTTTTTTAGAACCATTAGTCAGTTTTATGTAATATGTCTCTTGCTCGTGTAGAATTTTTTTTTCAAGGGTCTAACCAAATTGTTAATGTTTGTTTTGGAGAATCAGTTGCAATGTACCTTGTATTCATTGCCAAGACATTTCCCAGCGTTCTGTTTGATTTCTGCTACGTTTCCGTCATGACCGGACTTCAGTTCTTTCAAGTTTCCGGAACAAGGAACAATTGCAGAATTGACATTGGTATAAGCGTCTTTGTCGAGTTGTAACGACTCTGCAAGAATCCAGAGTCATGTTAAGGAGATACCAATATAAAGAAACCAATATATGTTCAGGTATTTTCGAGATACTTACGTTCAACAGATGAGAGAATGTCGCTGTTTGCAGAATCCACGTCTTGCACAGTGGTTGAGACCGCAGATGAAAACTGAGCTCGTAGGTTTTCGTTGGTTTCTTGTGCTCCTCTGTGGTGAGGAAAGGGAGATATTTCAGTTGGTGAAGCAGAACCGGAATGCAAATATGGGAGGGCAAAACATTAGGAAAAGAGAAGGAAGCATACCGAATAATTGAATCTACAGAGGCCACGTTTCTGCTCTGTAGACTGACTAAAGATTCTTGAGCGTTTCTCCATTGTTGTGTTCCGATTTTTGCATTCTCCACGCTGGAACAATTAGAGTTGTTCATGTTGTAGTTCAGTTTGTCAACCACCATCATACAAGTCATGGAGAAGGAAAATGCTACATTGTAAGCAAAAGAAGATACCATTTCAGAAGCATCTCCTTCATTCCTTGCTCTGCAACTTCAACAGCAGAGATATTATCGGTATGGTGAGATTCTATTTTGCCCATGTGAGCATTCCATTCGGCTTTGATGGAGGAAGCCGAGTCCTGCATTGTCGACATTTCCTTCTGTAATGCAGCGGTTTGGGTAGATGAGCCATCACGAATATCTTGCACAGCCATTTGAACCTGAAGAACAAGCAAAAATGTTCAATCCTTAGATACGAATGTATCGAGAGAACTGAATCACAGAAATCAAGTCTGCAAACCGTTATTGAACACATACCAGTTCTTTCTTTCTAGCATTCGAACTTGCCAGCAATTCCGCCATTTTTTGAAGCAATTGATTTTCTTCATTTGCAATGGACTCCTGAATAGCAGAAAAGAAATATCATCATTCGATCCAAGCATAAATAAGGCCAAACACAATGTAGAGTTTAACTGGGGACAGCCAAGTTCACCTCAAACTGCTTCTGGAACACGGATAATTTATGCTCATTGACACTTTGTGCTTCATCTGCTAGTTCTGTTAGCTTTGATGAATGCATGTCTAGAGTCTTGAAGAAGCTCAACATTACTGTGGAGATGGATTTAGCAGATTCTAGTGATCTTGAGTGCAAGTCACGCTGTTGCTGTGTGAAAGCAGAGAGCTTCTCCTCTTGCTTGTGAAGGCTACCTTGAAGTCCTTCAAGTAGCGCATAAGCCTCCAAGGTAAATCCTTGGAAGAGCTGAATCAAACCAGTCATAGCCACTGTTAAATCTAGAGACTCGAGAATTTATCTATAAGAATACTTTATAGTTCTTCAAAGCATCGACTAAACGATTCTTCTTACATCTTCCAGGGTGTGCGAGTGCTTTGACAATTCTAAGGTCAATTCGTTCAAAGCTGATTGGCAGTTTCCTTCAAGCTTCCCAGTTATTTCATCGAAAGAATTGATGCTTGAATTATACTTTATCTTCAACTCAGCTAAACTTCCCGATAACCTTTCGGTAGCCTGAAGAGGGGGGAAAAGGGAAATGGAGAAAAATAAAATGTGTAAGCATAGCTCTAGACTTGCACTATCATTCAGATAAACATGTAATTGTCTTCCATCTTACCTCGGTCTTTGCTGATACAAATGAACTCATAAATTTCTCTATGTTTTTCAACAGTTTTTCCTGCTCACTCGCTGAAGCTGTCACAGTGCTGTTCAAGAGCTCAAGTTGTTTCATCAGTTGTGACTGGAAGTTTTGGATGAGCAATCTATTACTGCCTTCAATTTTGTCCTTACTCTCTGCGCCGATAGCTTAGTAAGTATACAAGAATGTGATGAAGGAAATAGAGAGATGATCAAGGTGGAACAAACCAATTTTAGCAAACAATTTGGAGACATCTGATGCCGCATTATCCAGCTCTGTCCTAAGCTCAACAGCACGCTCAACAAGTGTTTTCTCTGAGAAATCATGAAAAAAGGTCACATTCTATATCACTTGGGAAGATATATAGAGAAAATTGGCAGTTTGTCACATGGTTTCAAAAAGGATGCGAAGAGAAAACAGCATATATTCCAAAAGTAAATTTTCTCATTGTTTTGAAAAAAGCTGAAGAAATCATCTCAAACTTGGAATCAACAGCAGGCTGTTTTCACTATCATCGACAGATAAGATAATCAGCTCACCAGAAATGAGGAGATTAGTTATCAAATACTCCTTCTCATTAATTGTCGCAATTGCTTGTCTATGTTTCCCTTCGAGATCAAACAAAGCTTGTTCAGTTTCCCCGAGCTTTTTCTGAAAAGAAGGAAAAGGTACAATTCATCAATGGTATCAGAAACTCTCAAAAGAAAAGATAACGCAATACAATCCAGCAAAAAATATTTGTGATACCTCTGTCTTATCAAGTTTCTCTCTCAGCTCCGCAACTACAAGCTGCTCCGAATCATAAAGCTCTTGAAGCTCCACAATTTTCTGTGTTTGAATAGCCGTCGCATTATCAGAATTTTCTATATATATGTTAGCTTGAACTCACGGAATACAAATTTTCCAAGCTAAATTTAAATTGCTCACCTTATCTTTACCTTCTGTCTCCACTTCCATTTGTTCTATCCTTTCAGCCATTGCCTGCAGCAATGAAGACAGACAAAAGTCTTTCATCTACCATACAAGACATAAAGGTCTTAGAGGTTTATTCTTTCTTAATAACACTACCTTCTTCTCTGCTTCTTCTTGAACATATCTCTCCTTTGGAATGTAAATTCCATTTTTCTCTCTCGCGGCATATACCTCTGAACAACCAAGAACAGATACTTGAGTTTAGTATATTACTGTAGAAGTTAAAATGGACTAAAATATGTGACAAAGAAATACCTTGCTTCAACCGTTCAATTTCAGAGTACAGATCTTTCATAATGGCTGATTTCATCATCTTTTGGTTAACCTGAAGGGGGAAACCATGGAGCAGTGTCATATAACATTACTGGCTGCGATAAAAGATAGTAAAATATCTGTGACTCACCTCTGGTTTATTTTTGATGTTTTTGGCACGGTGTGCGTAATCAAGGGTACCGAGTGTTTCTTCTAGGCAATGAACAGAGGGCGAAATTGTAGCAATTACACATGTTTTTGTTTTCCCTCCCAAGGAGTCTCTCAACAGTCTTGTCAATTTGCTTTCTCTGAAATTTTAAATACGTGAAACCATTTCAGACACATCCAGATTTTCAGTACAAAGCTTCCACTGGGAGCTCTGGATGCAAATCTTTTTGTTACCTATATGGAATATGACCAGAGTGTTCAACCAATGCATTAATAACACGCCCAAGTGTGAGCAAACTTTTGTTTATCTCCCCGGCTTCCCTGGCTCTCCCCTGCAAGATAGTCACTCTCATAGTTGTTCAGAAAAATCAAGAAGTGAAGCAACTCATCAACCTCAATGACAAGCAATGTTTCTTCAGCAACCTTAAAAACACCGATTTTTTATCCTTTAATTCACAGCACTAGTGTATCATATGGGTGGAATCAATAATGCTGTGTACCTCTCGAGCACCTGAGCGAGAAATGTTCTCTGAACCAGCTAGATCAACCAGATTTAGCTTTCCACTTTTGATGATCTCCTCTCCTTCTGGAGTACATTCCTTAGTGTGGATCGTAACTGAAAATATAGAGTGAGATCTACTACTTTGTTTGTTAAGAAGAGTCTCTGCAGTGCGTCTCTTGGCTGAACCTTTCTCCAAGACTTTGTAAATCTCATCTGCAGTACACACTATTTCTTCTTCTAATCCTCGGACAAAAACACCACCTTTTCCATCTTCCATGAGGGCTAGAGGTTTCTTTGATTTATCATCTGAGGATTTTGTTTCCTCTGGAGCTAAAAGGTCTGTTAGTTCCTCATTGTAGAGCTCTAGAAACGATACTTTCACACTGTATTCAGCGCTTTGAGCTTCCAGAATATCAAAGATCTGTTTCACTGCTCTTGGGATAACACCTGCATCAGTTGGAATTTCACCATTCTGGCAAGAAAAAAGGTTCCTTCAGATCATACAAGGATGCAATCACAAATTCAAACAACGGAGACGCTTCCATTGAACTGTGTGTAACAAGAGCTGGCTGTACCTTTTTTCTTGCTCCTCCTTCCATTGTGTAAGTCTTCCCCGTTCCTGTCTGTCCATATGCAAAGATGGTGCAGTTATACCCATCAAGAACCTCAAACACAATTGGAGAAACTGCCTGGTGATACAAGTCCTTTTGTTGGGATGTTGGACCAAAGACCTAACAAATTTGATGTACTTGTCAGCATGATCCAAACAAGGCAATTTTTATTTGAAAGTATCTCTCTTAATATTTAGCACAAGATGACTTCTTTCTGTGTGGAAGATTTATCCAGAAACAGAAATGAAGAGAAACTAAACCTTGTCGAACACAAATGTTCTGTCAATCTGCTTTCCAGCAATATTCTGAGCTACTGCCACTTCCCTTTTACGCTCATTGCACGTAATCAACACCGGTGTTTGTAATCTTCTCTCCTCCGAATTTAAAGGTCTGCAAAATACAGAACCCCAAAATGCACATTTGGACATTAAAAAGAGAATGTACGATGTTTCCCTTGAAGTAAATCCCCGCAGAGAATTCTCAAGACCCACCTGCAACGCACAATAACCTGTATATTCACACCCTTATCTTTATCGTTCTTGTTACTTGAACTCGAGTTTAATTCCGCTCCTCGCAGATCCCGAGTTGATTTATCAAGTGAGCGTGGAGTATGACATGGAGATCTCGATGAACCTCCTCCTTTTTGTTGATTAGAATCCATATGGCCGCCTTCTTACAGTCTCCGAGTCTAAACAAAACAGATTGCAAGAGGTATCCTGGATTACGATCAATCGAAGAGAATAGCACAACTATTATAAATTCATGAATATACAACTACATCGATAAATTTTCTACATCAACAACCATAAACCACCATTAGAATCGAAATGGTGGATATAAAACTCGAAATCAGCAGCTAAAACTCCAGAAAAATCATAGAAAATGCATCAAATTAGAAGCGAAAGCGTACAGATCAAATAGAGAATGGCAGAGACACGTTCTGATTCCTAAAATCGATCTCGATGAAACTTGCGCGGAGCAAAATCGATCGGAAAATCTTCTGGTGATGGTTTACCCGCGAGGAACATATGACCGCAGAGAAATAGGGGGGCGAAACAAAATGAAGATTTGTCTGAGAAAACAAAATTGCCGGCGTCAGATTTTCGCCGTTATGTCGTGACATCCCCAATCGGACCGTTGTAAAAGGATAAAAGGCAAAAATGCCCCTTTGAAAATATTCAAAATTTTGATTTCCTAGGTTTAGTTTTTGACCCCAAATGTTTTTGGAACTTATACATTGGACAAGATATTTATTAAATTGCACTCTGAGCTCTTATATATATATATATATATATATATATATATATATATATATATGCATGCATCTGGAAATGTACGAAATTCTGAACACCGTTTGGTTTGGGGAAACCCCACATTACAAAATTTATTAAAATTTATTAGTTTACTGATATTTTGCATCTAGGTTGTCTCCTTTATAAAACATTACATATCATATAAAAAGCTGATTTATCTATTTATTTAAAAAAAATCCCAAAAATATCAAATTTGTCAAAAGATTTGCAAACAGAAAACTTAAATTTTTCAAATTAGTCTCAAATCGGACATTTAACTGTGTTAACCGATTTTTAACTGATATTTTTTATATATCGAAAATATGATATGAAAATTAAAAGGATTAATATAAAAAGAATTTAAAAGAAAATAAAATAAAGAGTTAAATTCCTTTCTCCAAATCAAAATACTCATCAAAGCTAATTAACTTCAAAATAGTATCAATATACATACATACATTAACATATATATGTACGTATGATAAAGAATCCTTTATTAGGCCCAAACTCCAACCATAGGAAGCCCAATAGGCCACGTTAATGAGACTGAGTATAAGCAGAGCCCAAATTAATAGCATGGGCCGATTCAATTTTCTCCTTGGCGCCCAATATTAACGGCGGGAGATTAATTCCCGCATCATAGAAAAATTTCCAATCGAAATCCTAAAATTTCGAAAATGGAAAAGGAAGTGAAGGGAAACACAGTGGAGGGACTTTGGATCGTCTGCCATGTCATCGATCCCCGCGAATTAGCTGGATGACCGTCCGATCAAGCTTTATCAACGTAGAAAAATAAAAGCACAGGGATTGGACAGAGCCCTTTATAAGACGAGTCGCCGGCTCTTCACCATGTCTTCCTTCATTTATCACTTCTCTGATTATCGGTTTGCTTTCTTCTGCGTCCTAGTTCAGGTAGCGTCTTCACCACCTTCGCGAGAATCAACTGCTCTCGCCTCTCATTTCTGCTTCTGGTTTTTTCTTGTTCCATATGGGTCTTGTTCGGGGTGTTGTCTTATTCGAATGCCATGAACGTTTTGGATTCTGGGATACATATCATGAGATTTTCACTACTGTTCTTGATCCTTAAATTTCTCGACAATCTTCTTTTATATCAGCCAATTTTGTTTCAAGGGTTTCTATCCGATTTCAGTGTTTGTTTTAGGAATTTCTCCATTTTGGATTTCCTGATTGATGTGTATGAATATCCGATTCTTATGCCAATTTCAGATCTTCCGTTTCTCATCACCTCATTGAAGATGTCGGGAAGAGGAAAGGGAGGGAAGGGGCTGGGAAAGGGAGGAGCGAAGAGGCACAGGAAGGTGCTGAGGGACAACATCCAAGGGATCACGAAGCCGGCGATAAGGCGGCTGGCTCGGAGAGGAGGAGTGAAGCGCATAAGTGGTCTGATCTACGAGGAGACCAGAGGGGTCCTGAAGATCTTCCTCGAGAACGTTATCAGAGACGCTGTCACGTACACCGAGCACGCCAGGAGGAAGACGGTCACCGCCATGGATGTCGTCTACGCCCTGAAGAGGCAGGGCAGGACCCTCTACGGCTTCGGCGGTTAGATTTCGTTAGGCTTCTTAAAGAACTGGCCGGTATATGGCTACAATGTGTAATAGCTTTCTTGGGAAAGCTTCATACGATTTAAAAGCCAATCATCATCTAAGAAAACTGCTATATTTTCTCGCAAGGAATTAATGCTATGTCCTTTTCTCGAGTCTCGTATTAATAACAGTGATTAAAATTAAAAAATTTATAAGGGCCCTACCGGGTTCGAACCGGTGACCTCTTGATCTGCAGTCAAATGCTCTACCACTGAGCTAAGGACCCTATATTGAAATAATAATTATTTAATATTATTAGTTTTGTCTTGCAACTTGTCAAACACACTTCTTAATCCCAAAACAAAAGATCTAATCACCGCCTATGAAACCATCGAGGATGGAGAATAATGAGTATTGTTGAACATGTAAAAGGTTGCGTCTTTTAGTTTTTTGGATCTGCGTACGTTAAAAACAGAAAGTTTGAAGCTTGTGGGCTCTTTGATGATATGCGGACTGGTAAGTAGAAGCTAACAATCCCCAAAACGAGAGAAGCTAACAATCCCCAAAACAGTTGTCGAATTGCCTCTTTAGTTACTCTTTGTGGGGTCTCCTCCCTCAACATGAGGAAGGCACGTAGGTTGTGCCCGGCAACAGGCAATCTGCAGCTGTGTTATGTTGCTAAACAAATCGCGAACAAGTAGGAACAAGGCCTTATCGAATAAAAACCCCATACTCCAAATTGTATGATTATGAAAGATCCTGACAATAACATTACATCTTTCCTGCAGTCCGATCTACAGCCAGAGACGGAAATACCATCTTCTCGTTCATAAAGAGTAAACCCATCAATTCTTCATACATACATCCCCACTGCTTTACCATTAAAGCGGAAAACAACACGATAATTCCTACTGACATAAAACCCCACAACCCTAAATTCTCTTCACGAGCTAGTGAACTTGGTTACTGCCTTGGTTCCTTCCGACACTGCGTGCTTTGCGAGCTCACCAGGGAGGACAAGCCTGACCGCTGTCTGAATCTCCCGAGACGTGATCGTGGGCTTCTTGTTGTATCTCGCGAGCTTCGACGCTTCCTGGGCAAGCTTCTCAAAGATGTCGTTGATGAAGCTGTTCATGATCCCCATGGCCTTGCTCGAGATCCCAATGTCCGGATGAACCTGCTTCAACACCTTGAAGATATAGATCTTGTAGGTCTCCGTGCTCTTTTTCGTGCGCTTCTTCTTCTTGTCCCCAGCGGCTCCGGCATCCTTCGGCAGCTTCTTACCAGCCTTCGGCTTCTTCTCCGCCGGAGCTTTCTCGGCGACCTTCTTCTCCTCCGCCGGCTTTTCGGATGCGGGTTTCTTCTCCGCTGGTTTCTTCTCGGCCTTCGGAGCCATCAGAAAATTTTCTCGGGAAACTAAAAAGAACTCGAATCGAAAAGATCAGAAGTGGGGATGGCCAAAATGCTTAGGTTGCGATGAAGATATCCTTGTGAAGCGTGAAGACTTTATAGAGAAGGCAATGGCGAATCCTATTGGGGGAGGAGACTTAACTAGGATAGGTGACGTGAGAACTACTGTCCGTTGGATGCGTCGAATATAATGTCTAGATCCACGGTTGTGATAGATACTGGATATTTGGTTTTGTTTGAGGGAGCGGATGGATGACGTGGCACCCCCGCAATTTCGACATATACAATTGTTGGATGGAACTCCCGTAACATCCACGCGCGGAATCGCTCGAGTTTTTTTGTTTTATAAAAAAAATCAAGTGATGATTTTGTACGGAACAAGGTCCTGACATTATTGGGCCGAGCTTGTTGGGCCCATCTTTTTGCGAAATTTCCGGTATTGCGCCCAAACCCGTATCGAAAAAATTCGAATTTTTACCAAACAAAAAAACACGCGCTTTTACTTTCATCGAGTCCCATCACGCGGATCGCCATCTCCACCGTCGATAATATTACATCCAACGGCTCCTAATCCCCACGCTCGTCGAATGTCACCGGATCCCCTTTCCCTCTATATAACGCACACGCCAAACGCCCTCTCCCATCAAACGTCATCACACCGATATTTCTCCCCATCGAGATTCTGAACATCTATTTTTCTAAGTCGGATCGAGTTACGTACTGGAGATGGAGACCGGAGGGAAAGTGAAGAAGGGAGCCGGAGGAAGGAAAGGCGGTCCGAGGAGCAAGCCGGTGGCGAGGTCTGCGAAGGCTGGTCTTCAGTTCCCTGTCGGAAGAATCGGCCGTTACCTCAAAAAGGGAAGATACTCTCAGCGTGTCGGAAGTGGAGCTCCGGTTTATCTCGCCGCTGTTCTCGAGTACTTGGCTGCTGAGGTACGAATTGTTCTTGCTCGAACATGTTGAATCTGAACCTGGGTTATCGATCTGCTGGATTAGATTGTTGGAGATCAATCTATTTGAAGGTTTTGATTAATGGGTCTGTGTCTGAATCGGTGAGCAGGTTCTTGAGCTCGCTGGAAATGCTGCTAGGGACAACAAGAAGACCAGAATCATCCCCAGACACGTTCTCCTTGCTATAAGGAACGATGAGGAGCTTGGGAAATTACTTGCTGGTGTGACGATCGCTCATGGCGGCGTTCTTCCCAATATCCATCAAGTTCTGTTGCCCAAGAAGAGCGAGAAGTCTTCACAAGAACCCAAAACTGCATCCAAGTCTCCATCCAAGGCCGGCAAATCCCCCAAGAAGGCTTGAGCTTTGAACGAAATCTGTGTATTAGGGCTTTTATGTGTTTAGCAATGTAGGCGTCTGTATTTTGAAATGAAATGAAACCATTGGTTCCGGCCTTTTGACTGATCAAATCCCATCGTAGTTATGTCGTGTTTTGTTAATTCTAATGAAGTTTAGTCTAATTAAATCTAGTAGGAATCATACCACTTGGGTACGGTCTGAATCCAATGAACAAAGATATGCTATCGGTTTAGGAAATTTCTGATTTATTCTTGCCATCGCATGGTTTTGGGCCTGGTCGAAAAAGTTTGTGATCCCTTGCATCCCGCTGGGCTTTGAACGCTCCTTTGACAAACTTTCATTACTTGGACATTGTTCAATAATATCATGAAATTGACCCCTAAGAGTACCCAATGCTAAATACGTTGCTATTAATTCAACGCGCGGAAAATAGATTTTTGGAAGATCCAAGAATCACGTGCGTGCACGTGATCACGCCGCACGGCGTATATCGCGATTCCCACATAATTACAGTGATGCCCTTGGACCATCCATGTGCGCTTTATTTTACTACGACTTTTTAAGTTTTGATTACGTCTCTCGAACCGTAGGAACCCGTCACACGATCCTTTCGGACCGGACACCAGTTTCATCTCGCGGATCGAACACCATCTCGGATAGTAAACCCACCGGTCTCTATGTAGTAGCCGGCAGACAACGAGATCAGATAAATCAGACGAAACTGACCATTTCAAAAAAAATCTCAAACCTCATAAAGAATCGAACCCACAATTTCGTGTAAAAAGAGATTTGTTATTTTTCAACTGAGTTGAGAATTTCCCCAAAATTTATTTTATTCTATAGAGCGATCGTATGTCTTCACGTAAATTTTTGTCTCATCAACATGACAAAATCTATGCTTTAATTATAGCTTAATCTTTAATTATGTAATATTGCTAAATACTACTAGCATCCATGCAACTGTTGGAGAAAAGGACCATTTATTCATCGTTTAGTTTAGTGAGAGCCAAAGGGCAGAGGAATTAATTAAAGAGTGACAGTCAGATACATTGAACTGAGGAAAGACAATCCATTATCAAATCCGCCGTTTTTTTCTTAAACCACATGTCTTCACTATTTACTGATTTTGTCTCTTTCCTTACGCATAATTATTTATATATATATACAAATAGATACGCATATCTATATATATTGTATGTATACAAGGAATTCGGTCGGGCTGTGTAGTATTCTCGCATATTTTTTTATTCTTTATGTCCTTATAAAATAAATAAATATTTTTTTTGTAACATAAAATGATATCCTTTCATATGTGAACGTGCGGTGTTTATATAGCAATGCTATTCAATGTCACTATTTAGTAACATTGTGAGTCCAATATAGAAAACATTTACAAGTAATAATAATTTTTGGATTATACATTTACAAGTAATAATAAAAAAATCATTGCTACTAACTATGCCACCCAACCCAACAACCAAACAAAATTAAAATACATGAATAAAAGTTATTGACATTTGAACAAGTATTCTCTTTTTTTTTTTATCATACTAAATGTCAATACTTTTTTGGTTATATAAAATATTAAATGGTATCATTCCAAATATTATCTCGTATATTGCAAAAATAAAGACACTATGGTCTCATGTTTTTTTTCCACGTCGACATTTGTATACATCAAACAGTACAAAAGTTTTGATAATAAAGAGCAATAAATGCGCATAATCTCAGCGTATAATGGTGATTGACAAACTCCCTCACCCAAGAATTTCGTTTACTTTCCTTCATTGTTGTTATTATCATTATTATTTATTATCATCATTATTCATTATTAGAAACTAATATATACTCATGTTTTATGGTAATAAATTCATTAATTATAAATAAGTAATTAATGCGACAAAAGTAAATAAAATACACTGATACGTTTGTTTAAAACGACCAATGCATTATACGTATACAGTTTATTTGGCACGAAAGTTAAGTTCTTTTTAATGCTTTTATTATATAAAATCTTAGAAATATGTATATCTAACATTAAATGTCATATATATTGCATATAGGAAGATATTAAATAACGCGAATTATTTGAAGCAAGAGACAAGGGGCCCTGATCAGGCGGGAGTGGCTATGGCAAAGAAAGCTCTGTGTCACGATCACTCGAAGGGAGAAGAAACGACGTATATGGAAAATCTTAAACAATTCCATAAATCTTTTAAAAAAAAAAAAATCAAACTTTCTTTTCCATCAAATATATTTTCCTTTTTATTTCATTTATATGATATGGAAATCCTTTTTCTCTTCTTCTTCTTCGGGCTTCTTCTGTTCTATAAGAACACCCACATCTCTATCTCTCTCTCTCTCTCTCCTGCTTCTTGGGGGGCAAAAAATGGAGGAACTGTGTTCTCCATGGTTTTACCAAGAGGTGGGGTTCTTTTTTGTTTTTATAATCAAACATTCGTTCTTGTTTTTATGGAATTGATCGTCACTTTCTTCAAAATCTAAGCTGGTGATTCCATGCAGAGCATTGATGAGCTGAGACAAACGCTTCAGTACACTGCGTTCGAGCTCGAGGCTCTGAGAGCGAAAGCTAACGAAGACACGAGACTTCGCGGCGAGGAAGTGAAGGATCTCCTTCGCCTTCTCAAACTCGCTTGCCGTGAGAGAGACGAAGCTAAAGATCACCTGCAGAGTCTCCTCAAGAAACAGAGCATGTCCCATCATGACACGGCCGATCACAACGCTGTTGTTCTTGCAGTGGCTCAGAATCCGAAATCGAACTCAAGCGTCACCGAGTCGAACAGCCTCTCGCTCGGCTCTTCACCCGTCGACGACTCGTTCTTCTTCGACCCGGTCGCTTCCCCTGAATTCTCCAATTTCAACAACGTGACCGACCCGGTTCACGGAATCGGATTCGGGAACCGACCCATTAACCGGAACTGCAATCCTCAGAGACCCTTTGCTCAGAATTATCCTTCAATGGTAAAGATGATCGACCCAGTGGAAGCTCTGATCGATGAGATGGTTAAGGGGGAGGTTTTGCCGGTGAAGGGGAGGCTTCTGAAGACTGTGACGGAATCGGGACCGTTGCTTCAGACTCTGCTCCTCGCAGGCGCTCTTCCACAGTGGCGAAATCCTCCGCCAATGCATCAGACATCCAGAGTTCGTCCGATCTCGTACGAGGTTTCAAGAGGGCTTTCGAGTTCTCAGATGCGTTTGGTGTCTTCGACGCTCAATTTCAGAGGTTGCTCTGTTTCAGGCATTTCCCCCGAGTTCCAGGTCGCCAAGCGGCAGAGATTGATTTAAAAAAAAGGTTTCTTGATAAGAGCGGTGTATATTGGATTATAACCATTTGGGTTTTTCGATCGAGATATCCATTCCCAGCTTGGAGATTAACCATTTCGGCTGCCTTGTACCGTCAATTTCGTTCCGTGTAACTGTAACAGAGACGCATACCAAGTATCTGAAACAGGAAACAGACGTCTTCTCACTGATCACGTGAACAATAAGGTGCGCCTAACTTGAAACTACGAGGATCGAGACAGACGAGAAACGTGGTAAAGACATCGTGTTTCAGGGACATGCATTACATTACTATTTCTCGACGGCGCCGTTGGTGAAGCGGGTTAATTATTGAAATTTGTTGAGAATTATTATGAATTATATTCAATAATATACATATATATGTGCTTGTATTTGTATATGATATGATGTATGCTTGTGTGAGCCCAGAACTGGAATCAGAATGGAGATTGTTTTTCTTGGGCCTTAATGGGCCTTTGGAAATCTTACTGTGATGGTGGGATTTTACTAATTGGGCCTACAAATTTGTTTTGTGGCCTTTCAAAAAAATATACTGCGATTATTGCAAATGAGATTTATCAAGACTTTAAATCAAATCCGATATAATTATTGTTTTCATGAAATTGCATTCCGATCTAACAAATTGTACTGCGAACCATATACATGTAATGCATAATTAAATTGTTTAGATCCAACAAATAAACTATAAAAGAAAAAATAAAATCTTACCAATTCGTTATTTTAATCATTTTTTTTTTATAATCTGAAAGTTCACCGGACCTTTGCCCGACTACATCTCCGGGAAGTCCAGGTGAATACCCCTCCCCACGCTTGTATTTGAACCCAAGGTGAGAGCATACTTTGCATGTTCTCTGACCACTAGATTTGGGTTTATTTTAATCAACTTGTCAAATTCTATTTCAATCTTATCGTATACCATCTTAAGCTAATATTTGCATCATTTTTAAATTCTATACATTAACGAAACAACATATCTTTAATAATAGTTTACACTTAACAAAACCTTAATAATAATAAAAAAACGTAAACCTTTATTGTGTATATATAAAACCTTATAATGATTAACTTTATATGAGCACTCATAATACGAGGATGATATTTATTGCACACGTGATCTAATTAAATAGCTTGATTCTCTATAATGGACCAAATACATATTATACACGTGGCAAAGGCGTTGACGGGTGGGCTTACTCCTCTACTAAGTTGGCAAAATTGGGGATTTTCTGGTATTGTCGTTTTATTTATTTTATGGTTTCAATAATTATATTAATTTTTCCTGCCCAATTTATCTACACATCATATTATAGAAAAATAAACTAATTAATTCGACTGTAGGTGTCAACCGGCTTTTTCATACATTATATATCGGAATTATATAACGAACACTTTTTAGAAGTCTAACCAGTTTTCTCAAGCAATAATTAAAACCCTCAAATGTTATATTTGTTTTTTTTATAATCTACAATTTATCGGATTTTCGATTCAACTACATAATGATAATGAAGAAATTTAGGTGAATGTAAATTATCACCTTAATCATTAAAATAATGCATATGGTAGGAACAAAAATGCCATAACACCTTTTTTATAAAAAAATAAGAATTGTCAGATTATAACTATTAGACTGGATGTCCAAATATTGGATACATATTAAATGGGTTTTTAAATCTTGTACGTCTTCATTATACGGTTCATCACACAACCGAAACATTCCTCAAGAACAATACAAATTTCGTGCGGGAAAAATGTATGATCAAACGGGGATTAACTATGGTTAGTCCAAGAAAATTATCAAAAAAAAAAAAAGATACGAGGGCAAAGTAATCATATAAAGACGCACCTAATTTTATGCACAGGACCGAATAAAATGAGAAGTGGTCATAATAAATAGGGGAAGAGTTAAGGGTGCGTACTTACACGCGCAAATCGTGATCGAGAAAAAGCCCTTTTTGCAATAAAAGAGTTTCGGAAACGTCTTTTCTTTTTGCGCAAATTCAGTGGGTGGGAGTTGGGACGACGTCGACTCTGCACCTTGTATCCTTCGCTCACATGTCCCCTCTCTCTCTCTCTCTCTCTCTCTCTCTCTCTCCCCCTCTCTCTGTGCATGCATTTATGTCCACGCCATTAAGGAAAAGCTCTCGTAGCGAAAATGCATGCATTGTACGTAACATATATAGCCAGCGAAGGAACGCTTTCGAGAGGTCCATGCATCTAAGGAAGGTACCGCTTCTTTAAGGATGTAGCATTTTGATTAACACACTCAAACAGTGAAGAAGATCAAAGTTGAATCACACCCATTGGTGAAATGTTATTTATATTTATATCCGATAAAAAGAAAATGGAAATAACAACGAGAGCTGTCTCTTTCGTGCTCCTTCGCCTCTCTCTTATATATAATCCCTAATCTTCGATGCATGATTCTGCATGCACATCTTATACAAGAAAAAGAAAATGGATCTTCTCTTTCTCTTGTCCTCTCTTCTCTTCTCTTATCTCTTCTTCAAGATCTGGAAGCTGATGGACTCAAAGCGTGACCAAGAATGCTACATATTGGACTACCAGTGCTACAAGCCCTCGGACGACCGAATGGTGAGTACCCATTTCTCCGGCGAGATCATTCGCCGGAATAATAGACTCGGGCTCAACGAATACAAGTTCCTCCTCAAAGCCATCGTCAGCTCCGGCATCGGAGAGCAAACCTACGGCCCAAGGCTCGTGTTCGAAGGCCGAGAAGAGAATCCGACTTTGCGCGATGGGATCTTGGAGATGGAAGAGTTTTACACCGACAGCGTCGGAAAACTCCTCCACAGGAACAAGGTTTCCCCTCAAGAGATCGATGTCGTCGTCATCAACGTCTCCATGCTCTCTTCGGTTCCTTCGTTGTCGTCGAGGATCGTAAACCACTACAAGATGAGGGGGGACGTGAAAGTTTTCAACTTGACGGGGATGGGATGCAGCGCCAGTCTCATATCCATCGACATTGTCAGGAACATCTTCAAGTGCTATAAGAACATGTGCGGTCTTGTCGTGACGTCCGAATCTTTGAGCCCTAATTGGTACAACGGCAACAACAGATCCATGATCCTCGCGAACTGCTTGTTCAGGTCGGGGGGATGCGCGATGCTGATGACGAACAAGCGAAGCTTGAGCCGAAGAGCCATGTTCAAGCTCAAGGGCATGGTACGGACACACCACGGCTCCAGAGATGACTCGTACAACTGTTGTATCCAGACAGAGGACGAAGAGGGTCGGATAGGGTTTCACTTGGGCAAGAACTTGCCGAAGTCAGCGACACGAGCTTTCGTCGACAATCTCAGAGTCATAACACCAAAGATCTTGCCTGTAACCGAGCTCTCGAGGTTCGTGTTACGTCTCATGGCGGAAAGACTGCGTGGAAACCCTAGCAAAGGCTCGACAACTTCGAATCTCGCGCCAGTAGTTGCTCCAAAGGCAGGGATCAACTTGAAGACTGGGATCGAACACTTTTGCATCCACACCGGAGGGAAAGCCGTGATCGATGGGATAGGTAACAGCCTTGACCTGTCGGAATATGATCTAGAGCCGGCGAGGATGACGCTGCATAGGTTCGGGAACACGTCAGCGAGTAGCTTGTGGTACGTTTTGGCGTACATGGAGGCGAAGAAGAGGCTGAAGAGAGGAGACAGAGTGTTCATGGTTAGCTTTGGAGCAGGCTTCAAGTGTAACAGTTGTGTTTGGGAGGTTGTAAGAGATCTGGGTCTTGATGATGATGATGATGATGATGATGATGGTAATGTTTGGAGACATTGCATCGATAAATACCCACCAAAGTCTATATCGAATCCTTATTTGGAGAAGTATGGTTGGATCCAAAACGAGGATGATCCAGAGAATTTCAAGTTCCCCGACGATTAAAACGCGCGATTAATTCCTTTGATCGCAAACGCCAAAACACAAGGTCACTATATGTTATTTTTTTTTCTCTTTATTTCATTCTTCCCTTTTTGATTTTTTTTATTTAATTATTTACGTTTTAAACTGCCGGGGAAAAAGATATTAATATGAATATGGAAAAGATATCATCGCGATTTTAGGTAGCTTTTTTTCCTTTTTTTTCTTTTATATGTATATTTTTGGCGTTATAATTGTTAATTGTATTTCTTTTCGCGGATTTGATTCGCTAATAAACATAGGCATGCACTTCCAATACGAGAGACTTGCATAATTGTGATTATATATATGTTCTTTAGTTTCCATTTTTTTAAAAAAATATATTTATTTTAGGCAAATTACTTATAAATTTGTCCACTTTTTTATATCGCTTCATCGTACTGTTTTTTTTTTTATAAAAAATAAAATCCGTGTTTGTAATGGCATAGATATTGAAAAATAAAATGCGGAAATTAAATTAGAAAGAAAGAACAAAATATAAAAGAACGGAAACACTTTTATTGCTACATCTCTTCTTCTTATTATATTACAATGAAAATAATTCATACATTTATAGGAAAAAATATTGAAAGAAACAAGGAAATAAAGATACAAAAGAAACAAATAAGGCAAAATATAATTATCACGATATATATTTTATTCTTAATCGATATTATGCCTTTAATTGTTATCAATCATATCAAATCTCCATATTTTGTTTCTATTTCAACATTCCCCCTCAAGATTGATTTTGAAAGAATTTAAAAATCAATATTGAACATACAACAAAATGATGAAAAACTTCACTGTTATTAGAACAATCCATAGAAACCAAATTTCATTCATTTAGAGAGTATTAACCTCTTTCAAATCACTTCGCTTGACTTTAAAGTTCTAGCTTTAACTCTTTTTGTCATAGCATCTTGCTTGATCTTAGAGTTTGTAGCTTTGACTTCTTTTTGTCATAGCACATCGTTTGAATCTGGTTTTTTTACTCTCCCTTTGAACGATTTGGATATATGAACATCCAAAACGCAAAAGAAAGAAGAGATTAGAAAATTAGAAAAAGAGAAACATATAGTTCAGATCGCAACCAGGCTCTGATACCATATTGAAAAATAAAATGCGGAAATTAAATTAGAAAGAAAGAACAAAATATAAAAGAACGGAAACACTTTTATTGCTACATCTCTTCTTCTTATTACATTACAATGAAAATAATTCATACATTTATAGGAAAAAATATTGAAAGAAACAAGGAAATAAAGATACAAAAGAAACAAATAAGGCAAAATATAATTATCACGATATATATTTTATTCTTAATCGATATTATGCCTTTAATTGTTATCAATCATATCAAATCTCCATATTTTGTTTCTATTTCAACAATAGCATCATGGTCTGTCCATGGAGGAGGATTCATCCTATACTAAAAAAATGATGTAAAGCTGAAATTGATCGATTCGAAGCTGATAAATTTGATGAAAGAGGGAAATTTAAAACTCTGCAGTGAACTGATCGATGACCAGAATCTGAACGCTGTCCGAATTTTGTGTTTGGAGGTTGTATTGCATATTATTATATATTAAACTTAAAAAGGGAAAAAGACAAAACATAATTTGTTGGAGTGAAATAAAAGGGAACAAAGGTTGGTAGGCAAACATTCAATAGGCATTTGATGTCACCACCAGATCCTGGGGCCTACGTTTCCTCCGTCTTGAAATTGTCTAATTACCCCCTTAATTAAACGTGATTAGTCGATTTAATAGAAAATTAATTAATGCGTTTTATAAACGTTATTTTCCGAGTGATTATTAAGTAATTAAAAAGAATGATATTTACGAGTCGACCATGAGATCGCATTAACTTACAGAACCCTAATAATTAAGATTACAAAATGAGGAGAACAATAAATGGCGAAACGAAATTAGGGAGCAGCTTTTACAAAAAAAGAAATCAGGGAACGGCTTGCGAGTGTGACAGCACAAACAATAAATAAATGAGCGGTCCATGAGATCGCATTTTTCAAAAAAAAAATAAAATTGAAGTACCACTCTGACACACACGGTCTTGTTCCTCATTTATTGGGCCTCCTGTTTTATGTATGACACGTGGCTTTTTAGATCCCGTTGATTCTATAGCCCAACCACGTCAGATAACTGGACGGTCGTGATCTATTCACTCCACTTGCCTTGGGTTGGCACATAACAGTAACTGAACAGAAAAATATAGAAAGCAAACGTGGAGTGGCATGCCATGAACAACGGAAATTAACGTTGTTTGCAATAAATATAATGTTATTAGGAGATGAGAGACCACTTGCTACGTCAACAACGAATGGCCTTATCCCGTTATCCAAACTAGAATTTTTTTTGGTTAATACGAGAATAAACGAGATTTTTTGTGTTTCTATTTTTACCGGTTAAAATATCTATATTTGTGTTATCCAAACTAGAGACTGGTACGGTTTTTAAATTTTGAAAAATCGATCCAAAATACTATTTTTGACCTGAATCCTCTAAAATTTTCAAACCCTAATTTTTTTAACAACACTGAATTTTTCCAATCCGAATTAAAAAAAACTCTAAAAAAAATGATTTTTTTAAAAAAAATAAAATTTTCTTCATAAAAACCGAAATTGAACCAAATATGGAAGCATCCGTAATTTATAAATCTAAACCAAACTCTTATATCTAAATAGTCGAAAAAGTCCGATATTTCTAAAGGGAATAGACATGAATTGATCTAAACAATGGCTCGGAAAAGTTGGGGGATACATATGATCGAAGAGAAATGCTAAATTCCAAAAGAAGAATACATGCTGGGAATTTGGTTTTTGTTCTATGGATTCCTAATCGATTTGAGTTACACGATAGGAGATTTACATTATAAATAACGGGATTTTTTTTTTTAAAAAAAAAAGGAAAGATGAGTTACTCAATGTTGCGGCAGCAGCGGTCTCTTTTCCAACATCTCGTAATGAAGAACAAAATTTTCCTGCACGTCGAAGATTTCGATAGGATAATCTTTGGGCGATCATTATATACATATATGGAGAAGGATAAAACACGATGGACCGACCTTACGGATGACTTCAAATGAGTTTGGATCGAAGCAGTGATAAGATCCTCGTTCGTAAGTGTTTGTTTTGACGAGAGGCTCTCCGATTCTGATGAACCATGACTTGTGTTCCTTATGGTAGAACCAACCTCTGTTATAACTGCCAATAAAAAGAGGATAAGGACAGCTTCACGGTTATTTTTTCAGCTTGCAAGAAATCTGATGACAGACGAAGGGCTTACAGTTCATTAGCCGCGTATAATTGTGCTTCGTCTTTCGGCATGCTGCAGGAGAGAAACAAAATGAGATGATGGGTTTTCTTGAGTTATGGACTCGTCAACAACAAGAAATAGTTGCAGGGGCATTACCTGTAGAATATGTAAAACAATGTTTCTACCGAGAATTTCGCAAAGTACCCTAGCTGCATCCACCGGAAACAAATTACGAACAGGAAGACAATCAAGGGAAATAGAACCGAGGGGGAAAAAACTGAATCTTGCTGGTTACGATGGGGGATAGAGAGACTTACATGTAGCGGCGGAGGATTTTTCGCATAGTAACAAGGCGGTACACTGAATTCTGGATCCCCCTTGGCGGGTTCATTGGACCATGGGGAACCGAATGTCTTGTGAAGATTTTCCGTCGAGTTCAAATTTAAGCCCAACGTTGTCAGGTCAATCCCAAGTGCTAGAGATGTCAAGTCAGGATCACTGATCTTAATCACACTAAGCAAACCAAGCAAGCCAAACCGATCAGGATTTGACTGCATCGATTTCATTCCATGATCTCTGAATGGTTGGCTAACTGCTGACATTTGCTGCAACCGGAACTGGGATGGGTTCTGGTGTTGTTGGTATTGCTGGATAAGCTGGTCATAACCCATCCCAGAGACAGAGTTTGGAGAATTCATAGGTCTTAGTCCAATTCCCGGATGTCCACCAGTCTGAAGAAACCAAACAGATAAAGCATAGAGTTTCGATATAAAAACAATCTCAAAACGAATTTGGCCCACTCGCCTATTCTACACGAATGTTCAATCAAACCCCCGAGAAACAACTGAGCCTATTAAAAACTGTATCATACCTGTGAGTGGTATGCCGGATGTGAAGATGAGAACATGTCAGAGCCATGTAAGGAGACACTACCGCTACTGACAGCTTGAGCATGTTGCTGTTGTTGTTGCTGCTGCTGCTGACGATGAGATGAATATAGTCCTAAGTTAAAACCAGCAGATCTTCCCATCTGCATGTAGCAGCATTTTGAGCATAATATAAACCTTGTGTACTAACCTTGAAAAGGTGGAGGAATAAACTCAACATCATGTTTTCATTAAGCTAGAACTCACGGATAAATGTTGAGATTGCATCATTGAAATAGAATTATCATGGAGTTGTTCTTTCTGATGCAAATCCATTGGATAATCAGCATTACTGCCTGTAGAAAACCTATTAATCTGGTCAAGACAATGGTCTGATTCTGATATCATAAAGGTCATCAATAAAACCCAACCAGAATGCTCCATGGGATCAGAAAGTGAAACATAACACCAAATGTTGACATAACAATTACGGAAATAATTGCAGATGAACCAGGGGACCTTTATATCCTGGTAATGCCGGAAAATCTTCATTTTGGATGCTGAACTCTTGATTTTGTTGAACGATGGGACTGACTCCAAGGCCTTGTTTCAATCGAGACCCTGATTGGTTTAAGGAATTTATCTGATCATGAATAAGTCAAACAGATTACTCAAAACAGAAATGAAGGACTTTATGAGTTACCCAATTGTCCTTGAGGACCACCAGCAGAGTTGGGGCGACTCGTCAGCTGAGGAAAATCATTATTTATATCAAACGGAGAATTCTCATTAGAGTTCATATCATTCAGCATCCCCATGGAGCTCAGATTGTTCATTGCTTGAATATGATTTTGGGAAAGTGGGCCACCAGCTATGGGATAGGAATTTCCCAGCATGGAAATAACCTGAGAAGATCCTGCAGAAAAAAGGGAAAAAAGGTTAAAGAAAAACAAGCTTTACAAGGTAATCTTAAATGACGGAAACAGAAACCAACTTGGAAAAATTAACATTAACAATAAGAAAATGATGCATGATTCATGAATGAAAGTTATACTGAATGACGTTACAAAAGGACACAAATCATGAAATACCTTGCGGAAGTACTCCACCCAAGATTCGATTTTGTCCTAAATTTCCAGATCCACTGTTCGCTGTCAGATTTAGTCGGGAACCGATACCAGGCACAGATAACCCTCCACCAGAGCTTAAAGTCCTGCCCACGTTGCCCCCGCCGACCATGTTTCCCATAGAACTAACTATCCGAGAACCTGCATTTCCCAAAATTGGGGAAACTCCCAATCCTGGCACAGTATTCCGATTACCAATGGCTGCAGAGGTAGGAAGAATCCCAGGAATGGAACCACCAACTCCATTAGTGTTACTACTGAATCCAAGGTTTCCTATACCGTTTATAGTTCCTCTACTAGCGACTCCTGAGTGCCCGTGAGAGCTACCATGAGATAACTACAAAAGAAAATCAAATGGCAGGATTGAAGTAGCGCCACAAAAAATTCTCGTTGTTTTCATATCTCTCAGTAAAATAACAGCATATATCCGCTTCTGTACCTGAGCAATGGCGACTGGAATATTATTTGACGCAAACCTCCCATTTGAAAGATTACCATTCGGTTGTTGAATCCCAGCAGAAGGAACGCTATTTAGACCCGAATTTCTTGACCCAAGGGTTCCCGCCATGTTGGGAACGTTAAAATTTCCATGCATGTTATGAAGGCTCTGAATAGTTCCTGTAGAAAGAAAAGAACAAATCTAAGCTCAAAAACTTTAATGGCAATAACATTGGAAACATCTACCCACCGGCATGATGGAAAACTGGAGATGCTGCTCCAGACTGACCAGAGAAAGAAGAACTAAAAGATCTTCCAGAACCATCTGATAAATTTGAGGCAGATCCGTTTATAGAGGACTGCAAAACCAAGGGAATTACCACTCATCAGAAACACGATAAACCTGAGTAATTCCATAAGCTATGTCAACAATCGAAATAATGGACTGCAATGAAGCTGAACCAGAGATAGGAGGAAATACATTAAGTAAGCTTGACATTTGAACAAATTATCAACTCAGCATGCAAAATTTCATTAAACGACCAAGCAGTAACCCTTCAACAAGCCTTGGGACCGGAGAACGACACTTTTGGATTTTTGGTCGAGTATTTGCCTGAAAAGACGATAAACCGGTAAGGCAGTAAGTTCTGAAAACTACAAGAACAAGAAAACAAACAAGCTTGAACCCGGCACAAACCCGCAAACACTTTTACGTTGTAAAGGCTGATCTCTTATTACATTTTTTGGGTTAGATTCATATAGCTAAACGATACTTAACATCTATCCAAATGATTCATATAAAAAGTAAAAGCACGAACACCGATCAAGTTACAAGCTTTGTAGCTCAGAAGAGTTGAACCAAGACGTAAAACAAGCCCTAGCCTTAATGGAAATTACAAATCCAATTCCCCAAAACACTTGATTCACTTATGTTAGTCCCTAAGATCATATTTATCTTCATAAAATACATCATCTACACCGTAATTCGACACAACAATAAATACAATAGAACTTCAAACAAGCATTTCGTAACATCTGAAGAACACATCTAAATCAGTGGTACCATCAAAATCATCGGACCGAGGAACAAGAAAAATCGAAACTGGATCGAAAATTTCACGGCTGCTACCAAGCAACAAGCCCCGCGAAATCAAAATCCTTCCCATCAACTTCTATTCTCCAGGAAATTGATCAACGAACTAACGCAGGAATAATAATTAAGCAGAGACTAATCATTCCTTCATCGCAAAAGCAAAGTTCCAAACGACAAAAACCCTAAATCGCTCAGATGTGGAATCTGCAGCCAAACGACGCACCACCTGTTAGGATGAATCACAAAGGATGAACGGAAACCCCAATCCAGAAGCTTGGGAGATCGAAAATCCGAGAGATGAAGCAGAAATCAAAGGGCTTATTTTTTCTCTTCTTTTGTACTAGTAACTGATTTTTTTTTCCTTGAACGAAACAAAACAGAAGAACAAAATTAAAGTTTATTTTTTCTTTTTCTATAAATATATTTTCTTATATCTTAAATTTTATTATATGTATGCGATGCGGTTACAATAATGGCAAGACGGCGACGTGTTACGTGACTTGTTCTAAAGTCGAGCGACGTCGTTTTAAATTTTAATCCAGTTGACGTTACGCTTGAAACGACACCGTTTGGGCCTTGTGGTCGCTTTTTTTTTTTTGCGATTTAAGTAGGGCGGTCATGGTCACCGTCACACGATGTATGTATATATATATATATATAAAGAGAATCACGACAAATCCGTCAGTTTTTTTTTTTTATATTTTTTTATAGTGAAATAAAATACCGGAAATAAGGGTTTCATATGGAATAAAATCTAAATTGATATTTAATGTTGTTTAGGGAGATTATGAACATTTTCTCATCTTAAAAAAAAGTAATTATAAGTTTGAAATTTTTTTGATTTTTTTGCACAAATTTTGAATTTTATAGAGATAATTTTATCATTTTAGTTCTGTCATCATATACATCTATATGTTCATGGTGTGATAGAGAGATTAGCGATGTTGTTACCAATCAATATACTTTAGATAAATCTTTGATAATACGAATTCATGCTCGATATTTTATTATTGTATCGGAATACAAACCCCTGACCAGATACTTCGTATCGTATGACTTTCATCGTTACAATATTGGCTTTGATCATTAAAAAAAAACTTTATCTTATTGGAGCGAAATCGATAGAAAAAATGTTACCTTTCATTAATCAATGCATGCAGATTTGGGTTTTTTTTTTTTTGCATAGATTTGTGTATATTTTTGGGGTTATTTACGACATAATCTAGGCCACACCTTTTCATCATCAATGTGAATATATATATATACATATATATATATATATATATGGGAAATTTGAGTTTGATTTGGCACTGAAAACGGTTCATATAAATCCAAATAAGGTTAAAAAATATATATTCGGTTTTGATTAACAGTAATGCTACGTCGTGTACTTTCTACTAATTCTATGAGATCACTTGCTTTTTTGTGTTAAAAAAATTGTAATTCTTTTTAATGTATTATTAAATCCTAAACTCTTAAATTTGTGGTAAGTTTAAATCTCAAATCGTAGATATAAATTAATACTAAATTTTAAACAATAAATTTTGAATCTTTAGTTCAGTGTTTAGGGTTTGAAATATTTAATTTAGAAAATGGATTAAAAAAAAATAAAGAGATCTAAATAAACTGCAAAATAATCTCATGAAAATTTGTAGGTTTAAATAGCAGTATTATATATGCTAGCATTCATCTACAATTATATCAGAAGTAAGAAAAAAAAAAGTTTGGAAATAGAGATCTAGCACGACTAAGGACCAATAGTATAACGCCACGTGTTAAGAGTGGCGTGGCATTCCATGTGGACCATGTGATCGCAGCGCCCAGGGATTTGTTACGTGACGTGGCACAATCTTACCGGTCTGCTGGTATCGGAATCTAGTTGCTTCTATAAAGCAGAGATGTATTCGCACTTAATATAGTTACTGGCGAAAGAAAAGTATTTTCAAAATAACTGATAACCCCTCAATCTATTCCGATTTAACCTTTATTGCCCAATAAAATTAATTTTCCATTATAGTCCCCCGCATGTAATTAAATTTTGCATACAATATTTTTGTGTGGACAGACTCTCAAGCAGAATTTCAGGACGACTAATAACTAATAACTACAAATAAAAAATGAAAATAGAATTAATTTTTTATAGATTGCTTTAATGTTGTAGATATAAAATTGTTCGTTTCATCGTTATTCTAGAAAATTTTCTGTTTTTCATCGTGCCACGACTATATACCCCTCTCTCTAAAAACATGCAAAAGGGCCTTAAGTGTCAAATCAATAAGTAACTGGTAAAACTTTAATTTATAGAGAAGGCATGGACTAGATGATAATAAAGCATACATTTGTCCCAAGTCACTTTCCTGGAAAGTACGGGTCACAAACACAAGAAATAAATAAATATTATGTTGTATATAGATGTGTATATATTTGTATGTATATGTGCATCCCTAAGGATTTAATTTAACTGGAAGTCCGTGCGATTCGCCGTCGGAGAAACTGTACGGAGTTCCCTTCGCTCCGAATTTTCTGGTGAGTTCCCGATCTCGGACTGTGTTTTTTTTTTAATTTATCGGATTTTTTTCGTATTGCTGTTTGGATGCGAAGAAAGTTTTTGTATTGCCCGGAAAAGTTGATATTTGGGTTGTTCTCTGATTCCAGTTTCGAAATCAATACTCGGACCTCTTTTTCTGGTTCTATAGGGATGATTTTCTAGATAATGGAACTCTGCATCCGATCCTTTTCTCCCGCACGATTCATTTCCCGTTTTCGATTTCGATTTTGATTGTTAGGGTCTCAAGTGAAAGTTAAGCTTTGACGACCTCTGGAATTGTGGTACGAGTGACTGGAAGATCTGATTTTGTTGGCAGTGTAAACTAATGGGGAAAGGGGGTGAAGATTCCGGGAAAAGGGAGAGTTACAGTTCTAAGCCCTTGAAATCAGATGCGTTTCCTGCTTGGGCTAAAGATGTTCGTGAATGCGAAAAGAAATTCGGTGTTAGCCGCGAAAAGGGTTTATTGACGGATGAAGTGGAGAAGCGTCGACAGATCTATGGATTGAATGAATTAGAGAAGCCCGAAGGAACATCTATTTTCAAGCTGGTTTTGGAACAGTTTAACGACACATTGGTCCGGATTCTATTGGCGGCGGCTATTATATCCTTTGTCTTGGCTTTGTATGATGGCGAGGAAGGAGGTGAGGTGGGGATCACTGCTTTCGTGGAGCCACTCGTGATTTTCTTGATATTGATTGTTAACGCCATCGTGGGGATTTGGCAAGAAAGCAATGCCGAGAAGGCATTGGAGGCTTTGAAGGAAATACAATCTGAGCAGGCATCTGTGATTCGTGACAGGAAGAAAGTATCTAACTTGCCTGCGAAAGAGCTTGTTCCCGGTGATATTGTCGAGTTGAGAGTTGGTGATAAAGTGCCTGCTGATATGCGTGTACTGGCATTGATCAGTTCCACGCTTAGAGTCGAGCAGGGGTCCTTGACTGGAGAGAGTGAGGCAGTGAGCAAGACCACCAAGCCCGTGGATGAGAATACCGATATTCAGGGTAAGAAATGTATGGTGTTTGCGGGTACCACCGTTGTGAACGGGAACTGCATATGCTTAGTTACGGAAACTGGGATGAATACCGAGATAGGAAGGGTGCATTCCCAGATCCAGGAAGCCGCACAAAGTGAGGAAGACACCCCTCTGAAGAAAAAACTGAACGAATTTGGCGAGGTTCTAACCATGATCATTGGGGTAATTTGTGCCTTGGTTTGGCTTATCAATGTCAAATACTTTCTTTCCTGGGAGTACATTGATGGCTGGCCCAGAAACTTTAAGTTCTCTTTCGAGAAGTGCACATATTACTTCGAGATTGCTGTAGCATTGGCAGTTGCCGCAATCCCAGAAGGACTGCCAGCAGTTATTACCACATGCTTGGCCCTTGGCACACGGAAGATGGCTCAGAAGAATGCTCTCGTTAGGAAGTTGCCCAGTGTCGAGACCCTTGGCTGCACGACCGTGATATGTTCTGATAAAACCGGAACATTGACAACCAATCAGATGGCTGTTTCAAAGCTTGTTGCTTTGGGTTCCAGAGTTGGCACCCTTAGGTCTTTCAATGTGGAAGGGACAACATATGATCCTCAAGATGGGAAGATTGAAGATTGGCCAACGGGTCGAATGGATGCAAATCTCCACATGATTGCCAAAATTGCTGCCATTTGCAATGATGCTGGTGTCGAGCAAACTGGACATCACTATGTGGCAACTGGCATGCCTACGGAGGCAGCCCTGAAGGTAAAGTAGCCCGCTTTCTCTATCTTTACTACATGAACCGGTCTGTGCATGAGATTGATTCTTCAAATTGTTTACCTTATCAGTGATTAAAGTTATAGCTTGCATCCTTTGTTGATGCTATCTGTTTTCCTGAGCAGGTGTTGGTTGAGAAAATGGGATTTCCTGAAGGATTGAACAAGGCATCATCTCTGGCTGATGGAGATGTTTTGCGTAAGTGAACCTACTACCCTTTTTCTGTCTTTTGTTTTCTCTTGTTTTATTGGGGCAAAGTTCCTTATTTTTACTTTATTTGATATCGCAAAAGGTTGTTGCCGTTTATGGAGTGAACTAGAGCAAAGGATTGCTACTCTAGAATTTGATCGTGACCGGAAATCAATGGGAGTTATTGTCAATTCCAGCTCCGGCAAAAAACTGCTACTGGTCAAGGTTTGTTTCTCTTTATCTGTTGAGACTGTCAAAGTTTGTGTGTTCTACTCTTAAACCTTTCACGTCTATTTACGTCTCATGGTCAGTCATTTGAACTTTTCCCCTCTTATTTTCAATATCTTAGAGAAGAGTTTTGACATTTTGCAGGGTGCTGTAGAAAACGTACTTGAAAGGAGTACACATATTCAGTTACTTGACGGCTCCATTGAAGAACTAGATCAGTACTCAAAGGATCTTATTTTACAAAATCTACACGAAATGTCTACGAGTGCACTACGATGTCTTGGATTTGCATACAAGGATGTTCCATCTGAGTTCGCCACTTATGATGGGAGTGAAGACCACCCTGCTCACCAGCTTCTCCTTAACCCATCTAACTATGCTTCTATAGAGACTGATCTCGTATTCGTCGGATTAGTTGGTTTGAGGGTAAGTTTCATCCTGTGAAATCTTTGTAAGTTCCTCCTTTCTTGCATTCTGATGATGGTTTTTGCTATGAATTTTGCAATAAATTGAAGGATCCTCCTAGGAAAGAGGTACGCCAAGCGATTGCTGACTGCAGAACAGCTGGAATCCGTGTTATGGTCATTACCGGGGATAACAAGAGCACAGCAGAAGCAATTTGCCGTGAAATTGGTGTGTTTGAAGCAGATGAAGATATCTCAACCACAAGCTTGACCGGGAAAGAATTCATGGAGCTTAAGGACCAAAAGAATCATCTAAGACAGTCTGGAGGGCTTCTGTTCTCAAGGGCTGAACCTAAGCATAAACAAGAAATCGTTAGATTGCTCAAAGAAGATGGAGAAGTGGTCGCCATGACTGGAGATGGTGTTAATGATGCCCCCGCCCTGAAGTTGGCCGATATTGGTGTAGCTATGGGCATTGCCGGTACTGAGGTATATTACTCCGATTTCTTTCTTTATGCATTGACAGGAGATTTTGCCGATATCAGTTTTCTGAAGCTGTAGCTTTCGGTCCACCTCACATTCAGGTTGCAAAAGAGGCCTCAGACATGGTCCTAGCAGACGATAACTTCAGCACTATTGTTGCAGCTGTCGGTGAAGGCAGGTCCATCTACAACAACATGAAGGCCTTCATCCGGTGAGTTTCTCTTCCATTTCTGCTTTCAGGATTCATTTGTAAATGTTCGTACAGTGACTTCTTGGTGATCCTCATCAATTGGCATATGGTTGAAGGTACATGATCTCTTCCAACATCGGTGAAGTTGCCTCAATATTCTTGACAGCTGCCCTCGGGATTCCCGAAGGCATGATCCCGGTTCAGCTTCTGTGGGTGAATCTTGTAACAGATGGTCCTCCAGCCACAGCTCTGGGATTCAACCCTCCAGACAAAGACATCATGAAGAAACCACCTCGTAGAAGCGACGACTCCCTCATCACCCCCTGGATCCTTTTCCGCTACCTGGTAACTCCCCACTCCCAAAACAATCGTCATTCTCCCTTTATCGTCGTCATCATTAGTCTGTGCTCGTCTGACTCTCCAGCCGCGGTTTCACATCACAGGTGATTGGTACATATGTCGGTGTTGCTACCGTCGGAGTGTTCATCATATGGTACACCCACAACTCGTTCATGGGCATCGACTTGAGCCGAGATGGCCACAGCCTCGTCACCTACACCCAGCTCGCGAACTGGGGCCAATGCCCGTCATGGGAAGGCTTCAAAGTCTCTCCTTTCTCAGCCGGATCCCAGACATTCTCGTTCGACTCAAACCCGTGCGAATACTTCCAACAGGGTAAAATCAAGGCATCCACTCTGTCCCTCTCGGTCTTGGTGGCCATTGAGATGTTCAATTCGCTAAACGCGCTCTCAGAAGACGGAAGCCTCTTGACGATGCCGCCATGGGTGAACCCTTGGCTGCTCCTGGCAATGTCAGTGTCCTTTGGGCTCCACTTCTTGATACTCTACGTTCCATTCTTGGCTCAGGTCTTTGGGATTGTGCCGTTGAGCTTAAACGAGTGGCTTCTGGTTTTGGCGGTGTCGCTTCCAGTGATTCTGATCGATGAGGTTCTGAAATTCGTCGGGCGACATACGAGCAGCCTCCGTCACTCTGCTCGGACCGCTAAGCAGAAGGAAGAGTAAGGAGTCGGACTCTCTGATGCCGAAGTAGACGGAGTAACGCTGATACAATTTTATTAGAAACAATTTCATTTATTACATGACATTTTCTCTGTCTAGATTTTATTTTATTTTTTACCATTTCCAGACAAGTGACTTCCGTTGCTCTTCTTGCTATGTAACTCCTTTTGTTCTCTGGTTTAAAAATACATTTTTGTTGCTGATGACAACCTCTTCGTATGATGGTGCAACCAGTCTGTCTGTTTTTATGAAATTTTCGGACAAGAACATGAATGAAGTTCTGAATCTAAATTGATTTATATGATTTGACTTCAGAATCATATATTATCAAAAGCTTATAACACGTATCTGAAACACAGCTAATCCAGAAACAAGGAGTTCCAAAATCTAGAAACCCTAATTACAAACCCGACATCGACATACGACAGGACACCACTAATCCTACAAAACATCAGCCGCCGTCACCTCCACACCCAACACCAGGGAGGCCCGACGAACCTAACCGCCGAAGCCGTAGAGGGTCCTGCCCTGCCTCTTCAGGGCGTAGACGACATCCATGGCGGTGACCGTCTTCCTCCTGGCGTGCTCGGTGTACGTGACAGCGTCTCTGATAACGTTCTCGAGGAAGATCTTCAGGACCCCTCTGGTCTCCTCGTAGATCAGACCACTTATGCGCTTCACTCCTCCTCTCCGAGCCAGCCGCCTTATCGCCGGCTTCGTGATCCCTTGGATGTTGTCCCTCAGCACCTTCCTGTGCCTCTTCGCTCCTCCCTTTCCCAGCCCCTTCCCTCCCTTTCCTCTTCCCGACATTTTCACGGAGATATTTGAATTTTCTCAGGCACCAAACAAAGGTCTTATCGTTTTTTTTTTTTTTGGAATATAGAGTTCTCTGCCCATGACTGGATTTGGGAGGCGACGCTTTATAGAAATGATGCACAAATACTACCGTTGGATCTTATTCCGCATCCAACGGTTAACACGTGCGATCCTAATGAAAGCTCTTGGATCAGAGTAGTAACGTTCGTTGATTCCTTTCTTATCGACGGCTGTAAAGGTACCAGTTGAAAAAAACACAGTTGCCCCTAACTTCAATGTCGGGCCAGGCTTAGGCCCACATCAATTAATTTTATCATTTAGAAATGGACCAAATTATTTGGGCCTATAACAAATCATGTTAGGCGTACAATAATTAATGAATATTAAATTAAATTAGTTTTAACATTAGTGGCTGTAGTTTAGTGGTAAGAATTCCACGTTGTGGCCGTGGAGACCTGGGCTCGAATCCCAGCAGCCACACAATTAGAACTTTTTATTATTTTTATTAATTCTATTGGCAAAAAAGCATGGTTGAATTACAAACCCTTTCTTTAATCTTTATTGAATTCCCTGTGGTGTAATTATAACCTTATTACACACCCAAAAGAAAAACCTTCAAGTTTCCTGACGCCTATATATTTGATGAACTTTAAAAAGTTTTATTGCAAATAATTCGACTTCATTTGTACAAAGAACGTATTTTGCATGAGATTTCATGCAAATCAACGTGACTCGAAGGGTTCTCCCATTGCACGAGCTCTTTAACCCTCTCTTCGATCTCTCTCATCTCCTTCGTCATATTCTCCATGCAAAACCCTAACGCACCCAAACTCAGCACCACCTCGCTCTTGTCAACGACCTCCACCTCATCTTCCTCACTATCATGCAATGTTATTACATCGGCGGAATGCTGGAGATACGATTCTACCACCTTCTCCTGCTCGCTCTTGGAGCCTTCAACCCTTGAAAAACTAGGGCTTTTGCTCTTCCCCATCTCTATGTCCCAAGAGACATCGTTCTTTACGAGCGCCTTCTCCAGTGCCTTCAACGACTTCAGGAGCGTGATCTCCTCGAAAGATTTGGCGACAGCACCAATGGATTCTGTCAGATTCTCGAGGTCTTCATCCACTTTGTTCAGAACCTCTTTGCACAGAGCCTTGTTCGTTTCTTCGTCTCCGAGAAACCCTATTGCGTGGGCGCTGAATTGCAGCAGGTCAGCCATTTTAGAGAGCGAGCCGTGTAACTTGTCGTAGCAAGAACCGTTGAAAGGTAAGAACCAGAAACTCGGCTCGGCTTGGGCTTCTTGAACGAACTTGTTGAGATCAATCAGATGTGTTTTCAGCTTCTTCTGGCTCTCGATTATGTCAGAGCTGCTAGCTTTTGCCCCGGACAACCTTGCACACTCGTGTAACGAGTGGAAGCTTCTAGAAAGCGTGAGTTTCGCGAGAGTTGAACCTCTTGTTGGCTGCAAGACGAGCTCAACCATGAGTGAACACGACAACCCGATAAAAGTCTCGACGATTCTCGCGATGGCGAACTCGCTGGGTGCACCGAAGTTCCTTCTTCCGAGAATCAGGACGGCTCCGATTGCTGCCGAGATCGCCCCGGCTTGCCCGTACATCCTGCTCTTGCCCAAGAAGCTCGAGAAGACGAACCAGGGAAGCAACGACAAGAACCTTATGGGCAAAAACCTCTCGAAGACAAAACATCCCATGACCCCGTATACTGTCCCTATCACTGTCCCTTGTGCTTTAACGTTCGCCACCTTGAACGTTGCTTCTCTCGCAGCAGCAAAGCTAATCGCAACAGGCAAACCAGCCCAGTAACCGTTTGGTTTACTGTACATGGAACCGAACAGAACCGCCAATCCTAAAGATAGCGATAGTTTAATCGCCGGCATTATCCTCTTGCTGTTCAAAGCGCTTCTCCAGTGTATACTGAACCGACTTTTCTCCTCTTTCGAAGAAACTTCAGGTTTCTTATCCTTACTGTTATCTGGATTCGCCATTGATATGTTCTCGAGAAGCTTCATACAGAACAAGAAGAAGTAAAAGGGCAAATCTTGATGCATGCCCGGGAATTCTTGAAGTGTTTGGAAGCACCCGGCGGCGCTGTCTGGATCGGATTCCGGATTTACTGACGGCTGCAGAGAGTTATTGGCTCGTTTGATGGCGAGAGTGACGCCTTCTTGTATCTTTGTCAAGCCATCTTTTACTTCTCCGGAGAGTAATGTCGCCGGAAAAGAATATGTGTTGGTTAAAGCCATTTCCATTCCTCTCAGCGCAATTTCCATGCTTCGTAGTTTGTCTCCCGTGTTCTCTTCCAAGTGTTGTGATCTCCACAGTTTGAATGGAAGCCTCTCCCATTTCATGCTTGGCTGTCACAGTTAATGAACAGATCTATTGTTAGATATATTCTGACACATGTATTTGTCGTAAAAACACGCGTATATATTTACATGAATGTGTGTGTGTGTGTGTATATACGTCTTATGCATGGAAAAATGAAGAGATACATAAGATGATAATTACTTGGTAGCGTTTGATGGCTTGATAAAGCCTGGAGGAAGAGCGAGCCAATAATCTCGCCTGTGAGACGGACGCGGTTGCTGACGTGGCATCCTCAGCACAAAAGGCGTTTGTATATAGCTTTAGCCTGTCCGATATGTTTTGGGCAATCCCTTTGCAGCTTTGCTTCACCTGTCGATTAATAGAAACCCCACGATGAGAAATATTTATTTATAATCTTAATTATTTTTAACACGAGAGAATATTGCACCGTAGCTAACTATGCGTTGATTCTGCGGAATATATATATATATATATATATAGATTATACATATATTCTTAAGAAAGGGAATCATATATTTGTGGTTTGTGGCCATAGAACTTGCTCGGCGGAATTAAAATATCGTCTGAGAATATATCTGTGGTGGTTGATGACGTAAAAGGCATGCATGTTTATATATATTTACAATTATATTGGAACAAAGTTTGCGATACATCTAATTACCCACGCCAATATGTCGTGTCTGACTGTGTTACCACTCTACGCCCATAACTAATATATAACATGCAGAATTATTCTCACAAAACAAAACATGCAGAATTATCGACAAACGAAGTATGCCTTGTTTTACTTATTCCGTACGTACAACAGTTTATTTTTCATTTCCAATTAGTAGCTAAGTTATTTTAAACATTATATATATATATATATATAACGTCTTGTTATTGAATATTTACAAATGAAAGCCGTTGTGAAATTAGATATGCGTGAACATGATGCGAGTTTCTTGACATTCAAGAATATGGATAAACGCCATGCAAATATGCGTAAATCAATCCACACAAACGAAAAAAACTGTATATTTATATGTATGCACACACAAGTTGATGTTGGATTCTGTGAATTCAGTAAAAGTTCAGGAAAATAACAGAGAACTGTACTGTATAAAACTATATACGTATATTTCTGTATACGTACCTCGCGAGAAGCCAAGCGAGGATACGGGAGGAGAAGAGCGAGGACGCAGGCGGCGACCCCGACGGCAGTGCTCGCAGCGACTCGAACAGGGTGCATGAAGGGATCCGTCTCAGCTCCTTTGATGTAACCAATGACGTAAGTGATGACGATCTGTCCGAGCGCGATCCGCTTCGCGACCAAGTGAGTTGAGTCGCTCGGCAGAACCACCACCAGCCCGGCGAGCGCCACGGCCACGGCGGTGGTCCCAGCCGAGAGATGGGCGGGACCCCGGACAACCTTGCACACTCGTGTAACGAGTGGAAGCTTCTAGAAAGCGTGAGTTTCGCGAGAGTTGAACCTCTTGTTGGCTGCAAGACGAGCTCAACCATGAGTGAACACGACAACCCGATAAAAGTCTCGACGATTCTCGCGATGGCGAACTCGCTGGGTGCACCGAAGTTCCTTCTTCCGAGAATCAGGACGGCTCCGATTGCTGCCGAGATCGCCCCGGCTTGCCCGTACATCCTGCTCTTGCCCAAGAAGCTCGAGAAGACGAACCAGGGAAGCAACGACAAGAACCTTATGGGCAAAAACCTCTCGAAGACAAAACATCCCCCGCCGAGCGCCACGGCCACGGCGGGGGTCCCAGCCGAGAGATGGGCGGGACCGATGAGCCTGAGGCTGATGAGTGCGGGGCCCACGCTCTGGCACGTGGCGTAGAGGGCGAGCCAGCAGCCGCGGAGGGTGTCACCGAGCGTGGCGTCGGTGATGATGAGTATGACGGTGACGTATGAGAAAGCAGGGAATGCCACGTGGCGGAGGAGCCAGTCCGGGCCGTAGAGGGTCGCGGCCCCGACGATGGTGCAAGCTAAGGCCGTCCTGAAGGCCGAGGCCAGACACGTGCGCCACATTGCTCTGGCTCGCTCCGTCATGTGCATTTTCGTCCGCATATGTATGTGTTTACGCACGTGCCTGTGTATACACAGCAAGATTTAAAAAAAAAAAACTCAAACTCTGAAGCTTGGGACAAAACCTAAGAGAAGATGGGAGAAAAGCTTAGATTTGGGAGTATGTTTGGTTGTTGTGTAGTGAAATGGAAGAGAATGGAATATGGAATCATGGGAAGTGACAATGGGGGATTTATAAATATGGAGAAGGGATACACAAGTTGAGTGGGTGCTTAAGTGGCACGTGGGGGCAGACCAAGTGGGTTCCACGTGGGGAAACTGATGGGTGGGTTATGATGTAATAAATTAAATGAAAATAAGTTTATATCGACCGCATATACACGTGTGAGATAAAAATCTCTTGTGTATGTATTGTATTTGTATGTATATGCGGGTGCTTCAAAGAATCTATAGATGTGTATATATATGTGCGTCAGGCCGTTAAACTAAAATATGTAAGACGATGAATATTATACTTGACATGAATATAATTATATCTAATATCTCCAATCACGTTTCTCAAACAATGGAATTTTAAATAATTCTTCTCGAATCTATTTAAATCCTCTTCGTCATGGCATTATTCTTATACATATATATCCCCCATTTTATTTTGTAAATAGTTTAGCCTTTATTTCAACACGTTGATTATATGTCTGATATCATTTCGACGTATATTTTAACAAAGTGATTACTCCTATAATCGACTACCAGGAAAATGGATCATTTAAATTACTTGTATAATCAACATGTAGATTTGGAATATGAAAACATTAAAAAAAGCACTGTAATTAGTGAAACACAGTAATGGTGGTATACATCCATTTTCATTTATTTTTAGGCGAAAAATTTGCTATTTACTGTTCGAATAGATTTGGAATATGAAAATTCAGATATATGGAATACGTACGGATGGATATTCGTGGCTGTCCAAAAATAAATTTACAGCTAATAAAAAAAAAGGTAGGTACCAAACGGCTGTATGACGGCGAAGACGCGGTCAATGGGGCGAAAAAGCATACTAAAATTCAAATCCGTACAGCATAAAATTTTCCCGAAATTTCAAAAAATAAAATAAAATAAAATAACTTTGCGAAAATGTTTTGGCTTCGGTCAACGTCACGAGAGACGTACTTAAATTTCCCTGTCGGAAAAACTAAACAGATAAATTTCCCTATCCGTCATTTTTTTTTTTAAAGTAAGATATCCAGAAAAAAGAAATATACAGCTAGCATTTTATTTTATACGGTATTAAGTCAAATATAACGTGACATCGGTCTTGTATAAATTTCATACTTAATTTTAATATTTTTCAGAAAAATTTATATTACCGATATCAACAAGTAAATATATAATTAGTGATTGTTAAGAATTTTTTTATTAATGTTAATATCTTATTGAAAAGTGTTTTTTGAAAAAACTAAACGAAATACTTATAGGTAAATTTAGAGCAGCAAATAATAGCGTAGGAAAACGTTACAATTATATTACAACAAATCTACGTTATAGCTTGTAATATTGTAACGCATCACAACTTGCCAAGACACTGCACTTAACTACTATTAATTAAATGTAAAAACAGAGGTATTTAACTTTTCATAGACATAAATTTATATCTATATACAAATTTAAACCGTCCAAATTAACACATGAAGCAAATTAAGGAAGTCTTCCTAAAAAGCGATATACATTAGCTTTCGCCGCCTTCAAATCCCTCACCAAATCTCTTTGTCCATTCAAGTAAATACTATATATATATATATATCACACCATGCATTGTCCCTTTGTCAATTTACTTTTTATATTATTTATTTTTTCTTATACAAAAAATTGTATTTTAAACCATCCAACTGGTTACCATAAGGGATAAAGCGACAGCACAAGAAAGTTAAGCTATGTATTCTCGTAGATTTGTTTCGTTTTAATTGGGCTATGTCGTATTCTAGGTTTTTTTTTCCAATGTCATGTTTTATGGACATCCAGTAACAACATTTAGAAAGAAAACCGCCCTTTATCCTCAAAAGCTTAAAAAATATACACTATTTTATTTCATGTATATACTATATAGTATTATTTAATGTAAGTGTTATACAACTATATTATATATATTATATACTAGCTCGGCTTATCAAGAAAGCCGAAAAAGCGCAGGCAATTGGCGGAAATAAATTGAAACCTAATTAATAGAAAAGCAAAGAGACAGAAAAGGCAGGATAAAGTATTGTCTCGCAAATCAAATAAACCAATAAATAAATGATGTCAGCTAATTAAATAACAAATCACAACGGATTTTTTTTTTATTGCAATAAATCCTTTTTTTTACAAAGTGGGTTTTCTCTAGATTTCCACTTACGACGATGTTATTCTTGGTCCTAATTGTACTGAAATTTACTTGGATTATCTTTATTCCTTGAGGAGGAGGAAGGGTCAAGTGGGGAGTTGCGAATCCTTATTTGAAATTTGGTTAGTGCATTTAGTTCGTTAAAGCAAACTAATTTTAAATAAATATCCCCTTGTATTCATTTAAATATTGTATAAAAATAAATATACACATAGCAGTCTCATCTCTTTTTTATTTTTAGTGATTATCCAAGTTTGAATAGATATATTAACTCATACATTTTTTTATATGTATTATTTTCAGTGATTATCCAAGTTTGGATAGATATATTAACTCATAAAAAAAAATTATATATGCATGGTAGTCGGCATATATTTTTTTCCTATCGATTCCTTGAAAATGTTTGGTATGAAATTCATATGTATAATTTGGTTTATTCACACGCGCATACATGCGTGCACGTACGTAATTCCGTCTCATATTTATTTGCAACGGAATATCTTCTGCATGAATTTATGTATGCTGATTAATTTAAATCACAAAGTTTCTATTCTTTACGTGCCAAATAAATTATCTAGTTTAATATGTTAAATTGTTGATTATGTGATTTTATTATCGTAAAATAAAACTATATGTATCGGGATGGAATCAATAACAAATTTATCACATATAAATGTACAGACATACGAAACACACTATATATAATTAGAAAGCAAAACAAACGCATGCATGAAGTTTTTACATTCACATAAAAAAGAAAACGCAATAGAGATTAGACACCGAATGATATATTACATCATGGTAACATGGAAACTGCTGTTAGAAATGGAGGGTCCCCAGGTGGAAAGTCTAGTGGATGCACTTAGAATATTCCAAGTTGCCACTAGGAAACTATAGTCAATAAGTTCAATATCACCGACGACCAAAAAAAATCAGAAATTACAAACAAAAGATTGTAGATTATTAAAAAATACATTTAATTAGAGATAATATCTAAATCGTTGATGAACTCCCTTTTTTTTACCTTTGTAACGAGTGATGTGAAACAGAAGTCAAGAGGGTAATTAACATTCGGGATAGAGGGGGTCTAAATGATAAAATCGTTAAGTAAGGGGTGAATTTGGGAGAAAACAAAAACAATAGCATATTATAAAATGATAATGGAGCGTGACAGGATTTCGGGTGATAGGCTATCAAGAGAGAGAGAGAGGTTTCAGAAATTGCTGATGTCAGCAGCAGGAGGAGTCCCGAGTCCCCATCTGTTCCGCATCCGAAAGGTCAGCTTACGTCACACAACATCCCCCTGAATTTAATAATTAAGCAAAAAAAATGGAATCTTATAAATAAATCGATATCATAAATATATATATAATATTGTGGATTTCCTTTTTTTTTTTTTTTGTAAAAGTGGGATTTGAGATTTGGATTTTTTTTTTCGTGGAAAAGAAGGTGGAGGGAGCATTTTGCATGCGGTCGCGCTGCAATTCTTTTAGGACATCAGGAAACAGGGAGACCGTATGACGTACTTTGCAGTACCTACCCACAATGCCCACTTGGATCCTCTATTTTTTGTTAGGTTCTTTTCTATTTTATTTTCTTATAACAATTTTATATTTCAAAAATTAAATCAAGTTTTTGTTCTGAAATTAAAACAAAAAACAAAAAACTAAAAATGAAAGAAAAAAAAAACTGTGAAAAATAATTCCATGAGAAAATAGAAAATGATAGAAATTTGTAATCAAGAAAATCTGATTTCATTGATTACAAAAAATACCATTTTGAATTTTTTAATTTAAAAACAAAATCCGAACTAATAAAATCTCTATTTTTTTTACGTCTGGGTTTTGAATCTTAATCATAAGTAGTATATATAAATAATCACTTTTATATATTAAAAAATAAACACTAAATTCCCTTTGATTTTTTTACAATAATTTTTTTTTTATGATATGTATATATAATCTCAGTATTGTCAATAAATTGGAAGAATGGTGAACAACTTAGATTGACCGTCCCCTAAAATATATATTAATCATGGAATTTCCTTAATTAGATTAAAAGACAAGAATAGATATATAGCACTTAAGTAAACACCAAACAGCTACCACAAACTTAAAATATTTTGAATGACTAATTGCCCCGTAAATCAACAAACTTAAATCATTAAGTATTTCGGTTGGATTCAGTTTAATAAAAACAAATATTTATTTGATTTTTAAAAAATTGTATATTCAAACTCATATCTTTCAATCTTAAAAATTACATACAGCCAGATTTTTTTATATAGAATTCAATTTATATAGTAATGTAACATGTTTGATTAGGCTTTGTACATTTAAAAGAAATGAGCAGATGCCAGATGACTTACAGATTTTTTTTTTGTCCTCTTTCGGAGTAAATGCTTTTATTTGGTTGGTTCTTTATAAAATTTCATTGAATTAATTCGATGGGCACCAATATCATAGAGGACACGTCCCCATCCCAATCATGACTTATAAGATTTTTTTCTCAATCTTTGAGATGTTGGTTTCGACGCAGACTACCCTCTCCCTTTCATCTAAATAAGATTTATTTTTTTATAAAAAAAAGAGATAGAAAAATGATGTAATAATATTGGTCCATAACTATTGTATTTGGTATTATTATTATTTTTTGGTATTATTGTTATTGTTATTGTTATTATTATTATTTAGTGGGAGAAATCTTGGTGGGTAGCAAAACTTTTTAAGAAGTGCAGTATGATCTCAAAGTTTTATTTTCTGGTTAGGTAAAGATGAGAACATATCATAAATGTGTCTATATGTGTTTTATATAATACGCATATATGTTCACACACACATACAAACACTTTTGTTGAATGTTCAAAAACCGAATAATCTTTAATGATCTGATTAGATTTTGTTAACTAATCTAATCTAATCTTTAAATATCAAAAGAAACAAAATTTTCTACAAAGCTGATGCATGGCCTAACGTTTTTTTCACATCGTTAAAATATCATTTAAATCAAAGATGCTGTTTATATATGTGTGACTGTGATGAATATAAATATTAAACTGAAAAAAAAATATAATAAAAAACAAATACTAATTTAATTATCTATTAATTAATGTAATTTTAATGCTCATCATCAATATATAAGACCTCATATAAAGCAAAAATCGAAATACATCCAAAAAGTCACAAAAGCAAGCTCTCGGACTTGGTATGCATTGCATCTGCATATATTTATGAATATGTAGAGATAAAACACTTGCTTGTCATAAAAGTCAAATTTATCAACTGCGACGGATAATGTACGGACACAAATTTAATACAATGGATATGGACATATATATATGTATATCTGCTTATCCATGTAATTGTTAGAATTTTGACTTGAATTTTGTGTTCTTGTTTTCCTAAATGGATAACAGCCAACATTTACCATTTATATATACAGCATATACTACACTTTCCTTAATATTATTTTAAATTAAAATTGACGAGTTCGTAAATTGAATAAAGTTTATCACGGTCTTTCAAATTAATAATTTAATACTCGTCAATTGCATTTTGTATAGAAATATTTGACGAGATCCCGAAATTTTTTGGACGTTAAGAAGCTTTGAAGCCATTAAATTGGAAATGATTAATAAATTTTAAAATTTAATTGGAAATCGGACAAATTAATGAGAAATAAGCACACTACTATATCAATATATTTCCAAAATAACATGAAAGGGATCTTGCGACTCTCTTACCATGTGCTTCCAAATAGCAACGAAGAAGCACGCGTAGTTTTACAGACACGAAAGAGAACTTCATGGCGTTTTCCTGCGAAACAGAAAATAACATGGGCCCAGTTGCGTAACGTCTGGGCTCAGAACAAGGCTTTAAAAGCCCATTTTATAAAATACAACGGCCCATAATACCAATAGTAATTTTACAAAACCCGGGAAAAAAAAACTCAAAATATAATACAAGATATGCGGGTTTTTTAAAATAGAAAAATTGTGCTAATATTTTGTATACATGTCTTAAGTTCCGTATGCGTGTATGTATAATACTATAATGTGTATCCAAGTATTAAGTTTAAGGGGCGAGGGTTCCTTTATTGCATAGAAACATAAGGCTCCATATGAAAAGCTGTAGGGATCGGACATTGCAATTAATCTGTCAAGGAATCAGATTCCCCACATCAGCTACGCTCTCTTTTCTTCCTTGTCATTTTCTTTTTCTCAACACTTTATTTTTTTTTTAATCAAAATGCAATAAAACAATTTATACATAACTATTATCATTAAAACGCGAACAGTATAAAAAAATTTATCATACATATATATAGATATATAGATAACTATGCGCCGTTAGATATGGCAAATGGTTATAAAACCATGACAATTATATCAGGGTCGTCTTTTAGCAAGTGCACTGGTGCCTTTGAATAAGGTCCTATTAATTTGGAGGCTCCACTTTTTTAAAAATAAATATTATCATTAATCATAAATAATTATAAAAATAAAATATCTCTTATAATTTAACATTAAATTTTGTGAAATTATTATTCTAACAATTTTTTAGGTATAATTACGGTATATAATTATTATAGAATAAATAAATAAATATACTATAAAAATTAATTAGATTATAAAATTTAATTTTTCTAGTTTATTATTAATACAAATTCAACATTAAATTGAATTTTTAAATTGATTTCAAAATTCCTATATTTTAATAAGAAATTAATCATTTTATTTTAAAAATTGAAAATAGTTTGTATTTATGAATCCTAATTTATGGATTTCCTTTATAAATTAATATTATTATCATTAATACATAAAAACATTACAAAATTTATTGATGATAATTACATATTTTTTTTCGAAATTAATAATTTTTCGAAATCATTTTATAAATTAGAATTCGTAACCTTGACCACATCTTCTGTATAAGCAAATATCTAGACCGGAAAGCAAATGTTTTTCCCTTGGTTTTTATTAGATATATATATATATATATATATATATGATTATATTTAGAATCAATAACACACTAAACTATTCAAAATTCATTGACTAATTAAATTTAATTGGTTGTCCAAAAGCGGTATAGTTCCAACCTCACCACAACACCACTGTTTATAAACATAGTGAAAACGGGCCAAACTAAAGATCTAGATAACTTAGTAAATAAATCATTGAAAATAAAAAAAAAAATATATATAGCCATATATATATATATATTGTTATTGTATAATGCATTGAACGATGCGAATTAAAGCGCGCTCGATAACGCGAAATATCTGTAACCATTATCTTCCACAAGGCGTCTTGGAAAATTACGCGCATGAAACGTTGCGATTTTCTGGTTGGGAAGGAAAGTTGCAGAATTATTTGAATCTCAAGTGGGGGATTTATCAGATTTAAAGGGCCAAAAAGCAGCAAAGAAACGACAACAACATGTACGTGATGATTGACTGGGTTGCATGGAAAGGGTTGATGACTTCATGCATGAACGTCAATATAGTAATATCGCATAATAAGGCGATTATTATTATTATTATTATTGCGTCACCAATATCTTATAGACGAAGAAACTTCCGTCACTCAAACCCTAAAGAGAGAATATTATATACACTGGAGAGTGATAATGATATAAAGAAAAAGCACACACACACACATATATATATATATATATATATATAAGAAAACAAGCAAAATTCCTTGAAATTGCGGAAAAGAAAGAATAATTCGACTTTATCTTTCTTCACCTCTACCATCGTCTTCTCTGCACAGCTCTCTTCTCTCTTTCCTTGTTGGTTTTGTGCCCTTTTCATTCCTATTCGATTCTCCACCATTTCTCTTAATTTCGAGTTTCTTCCCCTAAAGATCCATCCAACTTTATTAAAGAAGGAAGAACAAAAAAAAAAAAAAAAGAGAGAGAGAAGAAGAACAATGGGTTTCTCATCGATCTCGAGCTTTATAGATCCACCCAATTGGCCACAGCCACAGGTTTACAAATCTCCTCCTTCGAATTCCATCTTCTTTTCTGTTTCCTCTTAAATTCTATATTGATTTTTTGATTCGTATATTAATAATTTTGGTTCACCGGCAAAAGTTATTCGTATTCTCTCGTCTCCTTCATCTTTAACCCTTTTCTTTCTTCTGACACTCAGCTTACCAAATGTTAGTCTTTTCTTGCTTTGTAACCGCACCCACATAGAGTATATATGCATGGTGTTCTTGAAAATCCCAAACACATGTGTAATTAATCACACCTCATGTAAAGTTTATCTTTTTCCATAAATTTCGTAGTGCGTGAAATCCATTGTGCGTTTTTTGTATTGATTTTAATTTGAGATATATATGATTCGTACTTTGTTTTTCACCAAAAATATATTTGAAGAGAGTTTACAGAAATTATATTAGCGTGATTGTGAACGTCCGAAATCGAAAAAAAAAATAATTAAAATCTTTTGTTAAATTTTTTTTCTTTTGCTGCAGACGAATTCCAGTCAACATAATCAGCAACAAGGAACTGGAAGTGTGATTAATGGTCATGAAGCGCTCTCCCACCAGATCTCTCCTCTCCCCACAAACCCTAACCCCACCCACCATCATGGTGGAGGTGCCTCGGCGAGGATCGGCGGCGGTTCCACGGAGGAGCGAGCTAGGGTTTCTAAGCTCCCTCAGCCCGACGGCCCCTTGAACTGCCCTCGCTGCGACTCCACAAACACCAAGTTCTGTTACTACAACAACTACAACCTCTCTCAGCCTCGTCACTTCTGCAAGGCCTGTCGCCGTTACTGGACACGTGGCGGAGCCTTGAGGAACGTCCCCGTCGGCGGCGGATGCCGGAGGAACAAGAAGGGCAAAACCGGAAACACAAATAAGTCTTCCGCTTCGAGCAGTAATAATCAGAACAAGCAGACAGCCACTGCCCAGTTGCAGACAAATAGTCAGTTTTCGTTTTTGTCCACTTTGCAGAATCTTAGTCAGCTTGGGAATATCGGCCTGAACTTAGCCTCCATTAACGGCAACAACCAAGCTCACTTCGGTTTACCAAACAACAGCAGCGGTAACAGTAGAAGTTTAATGAATGAACATGGGTTTCTTCATGTCGGAATCGGAGCTAACAGTACTTCCGGCTTGATGAACAGCAACAACATTAACAATAACCAGAATAATATTCTGACATCCAACCAATTCGCGTTCTTCGATCCGCCAACGTCGGGGTTATACACTTTCCAGAGCGAGGGCAATATGGGAATCAACGTCGTCGGATTATCTTCTTCATCCGCTTCCATGGCGGATTCTAGGGTTTCTCAGATGGCTCCGGTTAAGACGGAAGAGAGTCACTTGATTAATTTGTCCAGACCGGTTCCCGGTTTAACATCACCGGAGAATAATCACTTCAATCAGTACTGGACCGGTTCGGGTTTTTCGGGTTCTTCTTCTAGCGGCCGCCTCTCATGAATCTTGTTTTCTTGGATCATTTTTCTTTTGCAATCGTGATCATGGTGATGAGGATGAAGGGTCGGGATCTGACGCATGCAGAGCGAGATCTAGGAGATGAACGTACTACGAGACAACTATATAATGATCCTTGGAGATTTGTAATTGTCGTCTAATTAGTTTTTTTTTCAGTTTTATTGGTTATAAATCGATACATATGTATCAAGGATCGTATGAAATTGTTAGTGTGGTCTCTGTTTGCTTGAACTTGTGTATCTGTCTGTGTCGCGTAATTATGTATGTGTCTATCTCATTCTTCATCCCCGAGTCTTTATGATAATTTAACTTGTATATAAAATTGCGTATATATATGATGGTGCGTAATTGCTATAGAATCTATGGTAGCGGAAACCCTAACATTACGTAAAATATTGTATTTACATCTAAATTTTGTACGTGGATACAATGAATGAGTATAATTATTTTCCAATTACGTGAATGATAAATGGGGGGATGAAAGACATAAACCGATAAAAAGGAATGTCACGGAAAACAATGCATGCAGAGATTTCCATTCTCTGACCAGACCTAAAGCCATGTTCAAATTTTTATGATGGTCCCACTCTTTGCTTTTTTATTTCTCGGATAATGCGAAACTGTTTGCCTTTTTTTTTTTTGAATTACGTATACATTAAGATAAAGTTTATGTAATATTTACGTCTAGGTTTTACATATATATGTATTTATTATAAAATATAACTATAAATATAATTATTTCGTAAATTAACTGTCGAAAACGGCACCGGGCAGTCAGGTAGTTTCCGTTGTAACTGTCAAGTCCGCCATTAGGGTTCAAAGTTGCGTTTCTAAAAATTGTATATGGCACATTTTATTATTATAAAATATAGGAAATTGTTTCGTTTTAAACGGGGCGTGCCACCGACTACAGCAAACGTCTTGTAGTCCGAACATGAATGTGTTACATGGCGTGCATTTCCTCACCATAGTCTAACTACGTGCCGTTTTATGAAACCAAGCCGGAGTTGCATTCAATTTGGTAAACGAATTTCCGGTACGAGTATCGAATTGCAATTTACCGTAGAAATTTTGTACGAAACTATTTGCTGTTGCTTACTTGATCAATCGAAGAAGACGGCGAAGATGAAGCATGGCGGCGTTGTCGCCTTGCCGGAGCTGATCGGGTGCTGTACTGTTTCCTTCTTCTTCGCATTGTTCATTCACGCGTCTCTATTATTCATTCCCGTCTTCTTCGATTTGTCTCCGCTTCTCCTCCAACTCTTCCCTCAGGTCTCTCTCTCTCTGTATGCGTTCTCAACCTTTGGGTTTGATTTTGGGATATTTATGAGCCATGTATTCGAAGCTATGGTGCTCGTGACGGTATAACCGGTTTGGGTTCTCGCTGCTGGAGACTCGCCGGAGTTACATCCTCAGATCCCGTCTTAGTTTTCTTCGATGTAATCTTCATCTGGTGCATTGTTCGAGAAGGTGATCGCATTTTCCTTCTTGTGATTTTGTGTTCCTGTGATTTTTCTCGTAGGGATCCGTGGTAACTGGATTTTGACTTTCCAGAATGATCCCAATCGATGGAATAATTACCTGAGATTGATTCAAATTCCGGACGCTGCCTCCGTTGAAACAAAGGATCAATTTCTGATTATTAGACCAATGTCTTAGGATACACAATTAGTCATTAGGAGACAAATACCAGGCGGCATATGGAGAATCGGAGATACTCGAGTTCTTGTCAAAGCAACGTAGTCAACTTCATTTTTTTTTGTGAAAAGCGTCACCACATCAAATCTGTTAGGGTTTAGTCGGACCTTATGAATGGCATATCTCCAGGATTTTCACCATATCATCACATTTGATGGCGGTGTTTCCGTTCGGAAATTCCATTGTGTTCCGGAGTGTGTGGTGGAGTTGTGAGATGTGTGATCCCGTTTGACGATAAAAAGGACCGAAGGGCTATGTATTCTCCACCGTTATCGGAATATAAAGTTTGGATTTTGTGGTTGAAACGGTTTTCGACGAGAGCTTTAAAACGAGGAAAGATGTCAAGCACTTGTGATTTCCGTTGTAATGGATAAAACCATGTATAACGAGTGTAATGATCAACAAAAATCACATAGTACTTGAATCCATCAAAGGAGTGAGTCGGGGAACTCCACACATCCGAAAAAATAAACTCAAGAGGGCGAGTGGAGTGCAAAGTAGAAGTGGAGAAAGGTAATTTGTGACTTTTATTGATAGAGCAAGGAGAACATAACACATCTTTATTGGACGTAGAAGACAAGGGAAGAGAAAACTGACGAATGACTCGATTTAAAACCTCGGGTGACGGGTGACCTAACCTAGAATGCCAATCAAGGAGGGTGGTCTTGGTGGACGAAAAAGCTGTGGGATGGGAGGAAGTACGGAGGGAGGTTGGCCACTCATATACACCATCTCTAAGGTGTCCGCTTGTTAGTTGCGCCCCCGTCGCGAGATCCTTCACCTGAAAACAATGGGGAAAGAATTCAATGGAGACTTGGTTAGAAATACATAGTTGATGAACTGAAATAAGGTTTTTATGTAGGCTTGGAACGCAGAGAATGTTGGTTAGTTTAAAGGGATGGGAGGAAGAGGGGAGAGATAAAGAACCCGTGTGGGTGATGGTATGTCCCGAGCCGTCTCCTAGCTCCACATGGTCACCGCCGGAGTAGGGAGAGTGAAGCGACAAGTTGCCGAAGTCGGAGGTGATGTGATGCGACGCTCCAGAATCCAACAGCCACGTCGGAGAAGAGAAGGAGGTCGCAGGCAACGTGGTTGTGTGTGCACGGGGCTGCCAGGGAGCATTCGGCTGTGATGTCGACCCAGAGGACATCGGAGAGCGCAAGAGTTGACAGCGGCGTGCACTGTGGCCGTGTGTCCCACACAACTGGCATTTTCCTTGGTATCCCGTAGGTTTGCGAGGACGGTTGCTGGCTGTGTCATGCTGCAACCGAGGAGTAGATTGCCACGGTTGACGGAAAGCCGAACCATGTGGCCGAGCTTGGGTGTTGTGGGCCGTCATCGGTAGTATTGTCAGATTCGGATCTGCGGAGAGGAGGGCATACTCATGATTCAACAGCTTCTCATGAAGCTCCACAAAAGATATCGGGATATCCCGGGCATTGATGATGTCCTTCACCGGCTTATAATCGTCGCCTAGGCCGGAGAGAACAAGATCGAGTAGATCTTCATGATCCATCGGCTTGTCGAGGAGAGCGAGTTCATCAGCTTTTACCTTGAAGAATTGCATGTACTCATCGATGGATTTAGTGCCCTTCGTGAAACGTTTCATGTTGTCTTTGATTTGTTTCACATGTCCGCGGCTAGATCTTCCGTAAGTGGAAGCGAGAATGTTCCAAGCCTCACTCGTCGATGTAGATCGGGCGATAAGAGCTTGGCAAGAGGTGGAGATCGATCCAAGAAGAGCCGAAAAGAGGAGATTGTCTTGGCGGAACCATGCTGGAAACGCCGGGTTCTGTTTAACCGTGCCGTTCTCGGTAATGGTGGCGGAGACCGCATGAGACGGATCAAGGAAATCCGCAAGGTTGTACCCTTTCAAGAGACAACAGATTTGTAAGCTCCACGTCAGATAGTTGGTGGCGGATAGCTTCGTGATGTTGGCAACATTGATGTTAATGAGAGGAGAATCCGCGTTGTTGGGATCATACGGACGAACGGTGTCATTGACAGCAGCTGGTGTGCCAGAGGAATTAGTTCCTTCGGTAGACATGTCGTCAGAGGCAGTGTGTTGTGAAGGAAAAAAAAAAGGAGTGTCGATGAGACGTTAGGCTCCTGATACCATATAGTAGGTTTGGAGAGAATGAGTTGATTGTATATTCACATAGCAATTACAAGAGATATATAAGTACAACTAATGGACGTAAGTATAGTAACAAGAAGAGAGATCTAAGGAGAATAATATCAAAATCATAACAGAAATATATCTCTTTCCATTATATATATGGGCGCTTAATTGCAATGAGATGGCTCGTTTCTGATGATGATTTTACGATTTCAGGCCCTCTCATGTGTAACGAACGTTGTTTTCAGCGGAGGGTTTGAACAACACTGGAGTTATCATTAAGAACAGGTCTGGTGTCAATCCCTTAAGAGGAACTTGGCGACCTCGCCTTTTCTTCCACTATTTGAAGATGTCTCTGTTCTCCTGGTTGAAATTGCATAGGTGAAGAACTGGAATGTTCCCTTCTCATGGTAGCTCCTAAAGGTTCCTTCTTTGCCTGTCTATGTATATGTTCCTCTTGATGGTAGTTCTGCTTGTTGGATTTCTCATTACAAAAGTTTCTTATGTTGTCTACTCTGTGTTTCTACTCTATGATTCAACATTACAGTATTACACCCAACGAGTGAGTAAGCCGTGACACCCTACCCTTCCCTCCGATTATGCTTGCAGAACTTTATTCTTTACACGCTTCTCGTGTTTCAGAAGAACTGGAATAAATATGCAGAGTTCCATCACAATTCCCATGGACAATCAGGTACGTATATCTCTCATCCTTGATCACACACACACACACACACACACGCAGATGCACACTCGTAGTGATCTTTTACCGTCAACTTTATGGCCAAGGAGAGAGCTGTCATAGGATACACTTTAGAAACCCATGCCATAAGGCTGGGTGTTGTTAAAAACATGATGGATCTTTAGGCATTCAGGGGCTAGAGAAAATATCCATCTATAGTGATTGCGATTTCCATATAGAAGAACATCAAGTAGGTTCTAGCCCATGGTTAGAATATAAGATATCAACAAACAAACTTTGGTGAACATGTATGAAAACACATAACACGGAAATGAATTAGACACAAAGACCTCAAAGGATCAAAATCCAAAACCACAAACTTGTTTTATTAATTTTTGTAATACCTTAGCCCCATAGAGCCAAGGTCATCATAACAGCATTCACACTCACACACAGAGATACAGACACTCACAGATCAGTTTCCTGATTATTATTTTTTTACTTAGTTGTGTCCAGTGGAGATTTCAACAGACTTGGCCTCAGGCTTCTTTGTCTTCCACCTTAGGAACAGTCACTGTCAAAACACCATTCTCCATAGAAGCCTTGACCTCGTCCACCTTAGCATTTTCCTGCAGCCTGAACCTCCTCAGGAAATTGCCGCTCGTCCTCTCCACTCGGTGCCACATCTCGTTCTTCTCTTCCTTCTCCTTTGCCCTCTCCCCGCTTATCTTCAGAATCTACCCATCCTCAACCTCCACTTTCTTCATCCCGGGCAGATCGGCCTTAATTGCTCACGTGCGCCTCGCCCGTCTCCTTCCAGTCCACCCTCACATTGGCAAAATGTCTACGGATAAAGGGTCAAAGACGGTGGTCTTCCTGCCCCCAAAAATGCTCGGAATAAGCGACATTGTCGATGTTTTTAACGCAGAGATTGCAGTTGATTTCTGAGTTGTGTGAGGAATGTGGTTTATATAGGGGAGAAGAGGCAGAAGCTGGGGAGGGTTGTGGAACGTTTTAGAAGATTTGAGGAGAATTGGGAGAATGAATCCAATAAAGAAATTAAAAAAAAAGAATGGAGTGATGGGGTCGTCTTGTGATGGTTGAGGGTTGGGTGTGGATATCCAAATTTCGTCTATTCCGTGGAAATCTGAAATTTGGGTATTATACCGAGGTGTGATCGAGTATTATATTATCTGTTGAGATGGAGAATCTAAACCGCCAGTTGGAACTCGAGTTTTGTCCAGCGGTTACTATATACGCGGCTAACCCGAGCCGAGGGGGAGAGGGAGATAATGGGGATGGTGTGCAAGGCCACGGAAGACGAGACTGGAGAGGGAGGCAACAGGGCCCTCAAGAGGCTGCAAGCGCCAGAGGGCAAGAGGCGGTCATTAAGGTTTCGAGAGGGTAAGGATGCGATCTCGGATTTATCGGTTATTATAAAAAAAAAAAAATGGATGACAACCATATAAGACCACCGGAATTTATCGCTGTGGCAACAAATTAAACATCAAATCCAGAAAGAATTGGATTTTTAGGTTTAGTGTTTAACGATATAGTAATTAGGTTCTCATGTTATCTGATATTATATATATCAAGTTATAAAATAATATTGTTACATTTATTAAATTAATATATATACACGCTTAATTTTCAGAATATGATACAATAAAGAAATGTATACCAACTTCTTATAAAACTTGATAATATTTAGATTATATTTTTATGTTAAAATTTTAATATTTTTTTTATATAGTATGAAATTATAGAAGCCACCGGGTCATCATTATTCATATAAGACAAATGTCGCAAGCGGGGCTTATACGGAATCTGATTTTATGCATATGTCTCAAATTCAAGTACGTTTCTATTTATATTTGTTATAAATAAGGAGGAAAGAAGTAAATGGATCTACAGGTAAAATAAGATAGCCTGCACACAAGTGGCAATCTGACGCAGATTTTGTCTCCATGGTATGCATTTAATATATATATATATATATATGTAATGGGCATATCTAAAAAAATATATTTAATTACATTAATGTAAATAAAAACTTAGTTCTAAACATAATTTATTGAGATATTAAAAACACTTTTGCTAAATTTTAAATTTTATACGTTATTTTGTTTTAAATTTTTTTCTTCATAAATCTAATAGGGACACATGCAACCGAAGTATTTTAGTTTATTCTTGTTTTTTTTTTTGATAACTTATTCTTGTTTTTTTAATTTTTTTTCATGCAATTCTTATTTAAATCGGTCCAGTCCATTCTTGGTCGCATTCAATGCTTCAGATCTGGTCTCTCCCAAATTTTCAGAAACCGACTGTCAAACCGGAATGTGATTCGTCTACTACATTCCCCTCAAACGCCGCCGTTTTGATCTTCTCTCTCCCTCTTTTTCCTACCACCTTTTTTGACATATCACTCCGTAGTAAAAAAAAAATGCATATCAAATATTCGTGATTTTCAGTTTCTGGTAATAAAAAAAAAAGACTTTCGTGGAAGAAACATATTTTTCTTTACATCGGATTTTATTATTAATATAACGCCGTCTCCCAATTACCAATTCAACATGCACGAGATATTTTGTAGACACAATACATGTATTTCGTTTTTATAAATGATGAAAAATATAATAAAGGGAGTCAAATTTTTTTATTAAAGAATATATTGAGGTCAATACAAAATTCTATAATTTTATTTATATTTTTTTTAATTATAAACGTGGATGAAATTTGTTGCAGATGTTTCACATATTAGAAATCGGTATTGGATTGATATTAAATCAATAGAAAAAAACCTATGACTAATTAACTAGTTTTGTAGCTAAATTTATGACATGCTTTTTCACTAAATTTATGGTATTGTGAACCAGAAATTTATATAATATTCTTTTTAAAATTTTCAAAGTATGGTTGGATATTTTCTTATTAAATACAAATAAAACAATTCCGAATCGTGGCCAGATTTGAGAAATTTGTTAATTTTCCTCTACTCAAGCACGCATCCATCTCATTGTTCACAACAAAAATGTAGATCCATTTCTAATATTAAATGAATATAAAAATAGAGGCATATATATATATATATATATACATATACATAAAAATGTCTTAATTTAAGATTTAATTCGGAAGAGTACATTGGGAGGGGAAAGCCATCAAGCGGCCCACTTGACTCACACTATAAAATATAAATTATATCAAGGAGCGCGGTTGTTGTCTTTTAATATTATAATGTCTACCGAATTATTTTTTCCATCACAAATAAAACCTTTTTATAGTACGGTATTTCACAAATATCGTATCATGTCTTTTTCATAATTACTTACGGTTTGATCTTTTCAGCATTATTTTATAAATAATAAAATCGAAATACTCATTCAAAAAGATAATTATGAATGAGAAATGAAATAGAGAATATTAATACCTATTAGACAAAAGATAATTATGAAAACACGAAAAAGAAGGGAAAAAAAATATCGGACAGCTGCCCGAAGTCGCAGAGTTATTGTAGCCATATTGACACGGGCAGCCAATGAACGCTGCCCCACGGGTCACGGGCACCCATGCTCCAATAGAATCGGCTCTCTCCAATCTCCATCTCCATCTCCAACGCCTTTTTTTAAAAATTTAATTTTACAAAAATAAATTAGAAGGAGAAAAAATAAAAATTAAAATCCTTTTCTCCGTTATCAGTACATAAATGTGAACTTCCCTCCCCTCCCATTGGAAGCTCCCAAGCGAGAGGCCAACAACCGCTCTGCTCCACGGTGGCGCCGGATTCATGCGGCGGAGTACCTCGGCCGCTGCAGTCTGTGAAGTGCCGGCGACCTTAGCCGCCGCAGATTTCATATGCACAGAACCGTAGAGTGCTATTCCTCTGTGTGCGTGTGTAGAGAGGGAGAGAGATAGAGAGGTGGAGATGGGGCAGAGCTTGAGTTGTGGAGCGAGGCAGGACCACGTCATATTCTCTGCCGTGCAGTGCGGCGACATCGCGGCGGTGCGCGCGGTTCTTGCGGCGGAACCCGGTCTCTTGAATCAAACGACTGCCTATGATCGTCACTCCGTTCTTCATATTGCGGCTGCTAGTGGCCAGATCAAGGTCAGTTTCGTGGTTTCCGATGCGAATCTCTCCGGAATCAAGTGCTTCAGTTTACGATTCGTGTAACTGAAAGTTCTTGCTTTAAGTTTCTAAACTAGATCGATGGAGTTGGATTATGGATTTTATTTGCTAGATTCGAGGTTACTGATGCCCTTCCACTCTTTCGGTTTGTTTTTTCAGATGTTGTCTATGCTTCTGGAACAAGTTACAAATCCAGATGAGTTAAATCTTCACAAACAGGTTAATATTCATTGATTCGCATTTTTCCGATTGCACTTCGTTTCTGTTCTTCCGCATTCGGAACATTTGTGAAAACGTTTTGATGATTTATGATGTCGATTTGTCTAGACACCATTGATGTTGGCTGCGATGTATGGGAAGATCTCCTGCGTGAAGAAGCTCATTGAAGTCGGGGCTAATGTATGTCAATCCACTATCAACTCTTGTCAGTTCTTTACTCTGGTCACTATCAGTTCGAGTTTTGGATTGAAATTGTGGTGACAATTTTATGGAATTTTGCAGATTTTGATGTTCGATTCTGTCAATCGACGAACATGCTTGCATTATGCGGCATACTACGGTCATGCTAACTGTGTTCAAGCCATCCTTTCTTCTGCTAAGACAAGCCCTGTTGCTGTTCATTGGTGAGTGATTTCTTCTTAACTAAATTCCTAATTTTGCCCTTTAGCTCGATGTTTTTGACCAGACTCTGGAATGACATCATCATCTGGAATCGGATTTTAGGGGATATGCGAGATTTGTAAACATTAGAGATGACAAGGGAGCGACCCCATTGCATCTTGCAGCCCGTCAAAGACGGCCTGAATGTGTGCATGTCCTGTTGGACAGTGGTGCTCTCGTTTGTGCTTCTACTGGTGTCTACAGGTAGTGAGTCTTTGCTGGGAAATCTTTTCCAGGGTATCAGCATTGTAAAGAGTTTCAGTTGATGGAAATTTATTTACTCTGTATTAAACAGTTCACCAGGAAGTACACCTCTTCACTTGGCAGCCAGGAGTGGATCTATTGATTGCGTACGCAAACTGCTTGCTTGGGGTGCTGATCGCCTTCAGAGAGATGCTTCTGGGTACATATTTTTCTTAATAACACAGCTGGAATTGGGAATACATTTGGGCATTTCATGATTACAGTTAGTCTGTATGATTGAGCCTTATTCTCATGGCGTTTTCATCTCTGAGCAGAAGGATTCCGTATGCAGTTGCTCTGAAGCACAAGCACGGAGCATGTGCAGCCTTGCTTAACCCATCATCGGCAGAGCCTCTTGTATGGCCGTCACCATTAAAGTTCATTAGCGAGCTTAACGACGAGGCGAAAGCACTTCTAGAACAAGCTTTAATGGATGCTAACAGGGAGAGGGAGAAAACAATCCTAAAGGGAACTGCTTATGCGCTACCATCACCATCTCTATCTCTTTCAGAAACTGCATCAGACAACATGTCTGAGGTATTACATCCTTTTCACAGGCTTCTAGAAAAGAATAAACATTTGCATTTACATTTACGACATTTAGAACTTGTGGGCAATGCAGGAGAGTGATACTGAGCTGTGTTGCATCTGCTTTGAGCAAGTATGCACCATCGAAGTGAAAGACTGTGGTCACCAAATGTGTGCACAATGCACACTGGCATTGTGTTGCCACAACAAGCCGAACCCGGCAACTTCCAACGTGAACCCACCAGTCTGTCCCTTCTGCAGAAGCACCATTTCCCGACTAGTTGTCGCCCTGAACAAGAGCCGAGAAGATGTTGATCTCGAAACATCGGATTTCAGCTCCTCGAGATTCAGAAAGTACAGAAGATCAATGAACATGAGCGAGGGAAGCAGCAGTTTCAAGGGCTTGTCGGCTGCGGGATCGTTCGGAAAGATGAGTGGCCGCAGCTCGGTAAGAATCGCTGCCGACGAGTGGATGGATAAATCTTCATCTTGACCTTCATAACCCAAGGGGGTAAAAGTCTTTTGGGGGGGCAAAAACAAGAACGAAGGGATTTTGAACACCTAAGCAATATTCAAAAGATGGGGGGGGGGAGGTGAAAATGTATAAAATATAGATCCACTTATGCAATGATTTTATATTTTTGGGGGGTTGGGATGGAAATAAGAAAAAAGGGTAATTGAATTACTGAGAGAATAGTCCAATCAGGTTGGTAAGTTTGGCAAATGGTTGTTGTATTGTTTCTTTACTTCATATTATAGGAGTCAGGTTCCTGTCTCTCAACTTCTTTGTTTTATAAATTATAATCATACCCAAAAATTCAAAGTAGGCTTAATATCGCTTTGTTACGTATGGAATTGGATTCAAATGGATTGAAATGGTAATTACGGTGCAAAATCAGAAAAAAAAAAAGATAAAAGAGTTCGGGTACTTGCGTGAAATGGCTGCTTAAAATTTATTAATTTTATGATCCATGAAAAGAAATTTAATTGCATATGATATAATATTGTCTTTCAGTGTGTTTACAATATCATTTCCAATAGTGCATCACTAATCACTTTTGTCTAATCACGCATGGATATTTAATATTTAAAAACAGACTCAATGAACATTTATTTTTATCGACTTTTAAAAATTATGCCTACCCATATCATTGTTTTTGAAGCAAAAAGAATATACTTTTCTTACTTGGGAATTTTAATTCCTTTTTTTAAAAAAAACTTTTCATCATGTGATTGCGAGAATGCATGTTTTTAATAATAAAATCACCTTAAATTAACGTAGAATACCCGAAGTTTTCAAAGACGCGTTTGAGCCGAAAGACGATACGTTGAATCTATGTCGGGGGGGTTTAAAGTTAAATTCCTTAAAATACAATATAAATTGTCCTTTTTTCGCCATGTTTCCGAACCAGTATAGCTGACGTGTTTTGAATATTTGATCAGACATAGTTTATAAACAAACGGGATACTTTTATTAAACTTTTACAATTATTTAGAAAAACTTTTTACCTTTTTAAAATTAATTTTTAGATTTTGTATAACCAATGGGTTTTGTTAATTTTCTTCAGGATGCTATATGTAACTTCAAATATTTAGAACTTCTCCTATCTCTACCAAAACAAAATATTAATTCATTACATTTATATGCTCAATAATAAAAATTTAATGATCCGCTCCTTATTGTTTGGAAATTTTTTTTGGAATAAAATTTATGTCGGGAGGTTAAAGAATAATTTTCTCGTGTCACATAGATATTGAATATTTATAATTTAATTACCATAATATAACGCGCCAATTTTTTTATAATTATATGATTTATTTTACGAATATTTGGGACCTTGTGATGAAGTTAAATTAGCATTTTAAGATTGTTAAGGTAATACAAAAATAAGCACATTGGTACATATGCCGAAGGGAAGAAAAAAAACGATATCGTAATGGTATTGTTAACTGGGCCTTACCGAAGTCTGTATGGTCCAATACGTGAATAAAAAACTTAATGGGCCTAATTGTAAAATGGGCTAAAGATAATTATAAGGCCCATTTGTGGTATTAGAAAGCCCAGATCTTTGTGGAAGTTAAAATTAAACTTTTAAATTTAATATGTTATGAATAATACCACTAGAAATTTTACAATTAGCCGTTATAATTCCGATCTATGGCATACGATGGAACTCGAAGTTCAAAATAACGATAAAAATATTTCGTTTACATCATCATCATCACCATCATCATCATCACCACCATCATCATCAATTAGAAAATAGAAATGCGGTGGCAATATTTTCAAAAAGAAGTGGGGTTAGTTGCTTGACTTTTGCTGAGAGAGTGCATTTGGTCGTCTCCAAAGAATAATCAAATCGTTTCTCCGTATCCAACTTGTCCGGTGCATTGTACCAAGTTTACATACTGTTTGTCTCCTCGGTTAAACATATCCTACACCTGAACTACATAATCTACATATCAAAACTACAATTTTCATATAAAAACCTTCAAACATTACGAATTAATGTTAGCATTATTGATTTATTTCCCTTTGGCCCTCTGTTGTTGCCTTTCCCCGTATACACACGAGTCACGACCTTGTCCATGAATCGACTCGCCGAGTCAACACAAAAGTCAAACTCCATTGCTGAAATTTTGTTCTCGACGGTTAAAAAAGATTCGAAATTCGACAATTCTGCAGAATTGGATCCGACCCAGAAAAATTCACAGGCGATGGAGCTTCTACAGCCAGAGCACCCGCCCCATCTCGACCCGACCCGTTACCCGCTTCGTGGGTTGTCTTCTCCGTCGAGGCTCTTCTCGCCGGAGACGGCGGAAGAAGACACCCTTCGGAGAAACATCGCAGACATAGTGTACGTAGCTGTCGGAAAGACCGTTGACAAGGCTTTGAGCCTGCTCCAATGGAGTTTCAAGCAATTCGCTGGCTGCGAAATTTGTTTGCTTCACATTCACCAACCGTCTCCTCTGATACCGACTCTGCGTACGCCTCTGTTCATCTCTTCTCCTCTGATTTTGGTGATTTTATGGTATGGGGGTTGAAGTTTGAGTGTTTTAGTCGAAAATTCGTTAAGCAAATCATTGATGAGCTTTGATTCAAAGCTAAAGAGATTTTTCTTTTCGTTTTCGGCTCTCAAAATTTTGCAGTCTTGTTCTCTGGTTGTAGCCAATGGATCATCATACATACAAAGACACACACAAAAGAAGAAAATCAATTCTGTGTTTGCAAGGAACAAGTTACTAGAATTTGAGATTTTGATGTTTGTTCTTGCAGTGGGGAAATTGCCAGCGAGTCAAGCAAACAGTGAATTGGTGAAGGCATACAGAAGGGAAGAAAGGGAAAAGATGAGGAATCTCCTGGATATTTACTTGAAGGCTTGTGCTCGAACCAAGGTGTGATTAACCTTTCTTCAGACATTAAGAAACCGGTTAATGTGTGTTAGCATGTGCTGTCCCTGTCCTGTCTTCTGTTCTTGTCTGCGTAATTTGTGTTGTTCTAACTTCAATTCAAATCATGTGTGCCCTTATTGCAAGTGAAGATAGCAAAGGTTCCATAGTGAATATGTGTATGTATACATGCCTTTCTCTATTACCATTCATGTAATTCTAGCTGTGTTGATCCCATATGCCAAGTGAAAGAGAAAGTCATGGGAATTGTTTAAAGGAATGGGATTTGTCTTGCAGGTGAAAGCAAGTGTCCTTGTAACCGAAGCTGATCAGGTGGCTCGAGGGATTTTAGAGCTAATAAATAGACACTGTATAAAGAAGCTTGTGATGGGTGCCGTACCCGAGAGGTCAGTCGTCTCCTTTCCAGCATTATCCATCTTCCCAATACGATCATTGGACTGGTGGCATATGCATATTTGCGCATATGCTTGTTTTCTCTGGGTATGTCTGAGTATTAGCTGATTAGCCCGAGTTGTATATTTGGCACTTTGTTAATAGATTCTTGACTAAAACTCGTTTCGTGTATGATCTCTTTGGTTTTGATCTTGAGAATCTCGTACTAATATCGCCAATCTAAATGCTTTTATCTGCAGCTGCATGAAGATGAGGAGTTCAAGCAAAGCATTTTATGCTTCGAAAAAGGCACCTGCATTTTGTGAGATTTGGTTTGTCAACAAAGGGAAACATGCTTGGGTTCGAGAAGCTTTTGAACGCACATCTGCAGAAGTTTCGGGTTCTAGATCATTTCGTCTCAGTAGTAGAAGTAATCTATCTCTCAACCTCGGGAATTGGCGGTCTCGATCTGCTAGAAACTTAGTTTCCGATGAGTTATCCAGCCGACTCGGGGCTGGTCAAGTTCACACTGAACTGCCCATGTCTCCTCGACGACAATGTAACTTGTCAAATGTTAGTAGTAGCAGTGTCTCTGATTCTTCATCGAGTAGTGCAGAAAAAAGGCTATCTTCGAATTCCGATTCAAAGGTTGATGAAGATTGCCTCTACAGTCAGTTCAATGAAGCAAGAACAGAGGCTGAGGCGTCGAAACACGAAGCTTTTCGGGAAGAGTTGAACCTTAAAAATTTGGAGTCTGGATTTATCGATGCCATCAACAAGGTATAGTCTTTATATAGATGCCATCAACAAGGTTTTACAGTATATGATGATTGGTTTCTCTTCAGGTTAAAGCATTTGAATCTGCACATGCCCACGAAGTAAATCTCCGGGAAGAAGCTGAAAATGAACTTAGAAGTGTCATAAACCAGCAGGAGAAGCTCTCGGAAGAGAAAGAGAAACTCGCTAGAAAGTTAGAGAGAGCAATGAGAAATGTTGCCTTCCTAGACTGTCGTGCACAGGGAGCCAGTCGGCGGCGCGAGGAAGTTTCGGCAGAGCTAAAGCTCGTCGAGTCATCCTTGGCGGGATTGCGTCTAGAGAAGCAGAAGATTAGGAGGCAGAAAATGGATGCTACCCGTTGGATCGAACGGTGGAAAAGCAACGGGCATGAAGGGTCCTCGAGTTTTTGCAATGAATTCGTTGGATTTGAAGAAGGTGATGAAGATTTGCCCGAGGTAGCTGAATTCTCCTTGTCAGAACTTGAATCCGCCACTTTCCATTTCTCCGAGAGTTTCAAACTGGGACAAGGCGGGAACGGGTGTGTCTACAAAGGCGAGATGCTGGGAAGAACCGTCGCGATTAAGAAATTGCATCCGCATAATATGCAAGGACAGCTAGAGTTTCAGCAAGAGGTTTGTCAATCTTTCTTGTTTATGTTGCCTCTCTTACCATTCATACATTAGAGCTGAAATGATAATGGCTTATTGATCTGATCGGTTTAGGTCCGGGTTCTCAGCAAACTGCAACACCCTCATCTCGTGACAATGTTCGGATATTGTCCTGAAGCCTGGTCGATTGTTTACGAGTATCTTCCAAATGGGAGTCTACAAGACCGTCTTTTCCGTAAAACCAACGTCTCTCCCTTGTCATGGGAGATACGAGCTCGGGTTATAGCCGAAATCTCGAATGCTCTCTGTTTCTTGCATTCTTCTAAACCCGAGAAGATAGTGCATGGTGATTTGAAACCGGAGAACATACTTCTAGACTCGGAACTCACCTGCAAAATCTGTGATTTTGGTATCTGCAGACTGGTATCTGAAGAATCCTTTTACCGTTCAGATTTTAACAATGAGCCGAAAGGAGCTTTCCCATACGCCGATCCCGAGTTTCACAGATACGGCATCCTAACTCCAAAATCTGATGTTTACTCATTCGGCATAATCATCTTACAACTTCTCACGGGAAGGCCACCCGTTGGGTTGGTTGGGGAAGTGCGAAAAGCCGTGTTCTTGGGAAAGTTAGCCTCTATTTTGGATTCAACGGCAGGTGAATGTCCGATATTCTTGGCCAAACGCCTTGCAAACATCGGGCTACAATGCTGTGAACAGCACAGCAGAGACAGGCCTGATCTTACACCGTCTCTCGTGAGGGAGTTGGAGCAGTTGCACATTCCAGAAGAACGGCCTGTGCCATCTTTCTTCTTGTGCCCAATCTTTCAGGTAACGGAATGAGCCATCATCATCATCTGAATGATCAGAAATCACATGTTTGTCCTGTATCGGGTAAAGGGTATGAACCCAAATGATCAAGAATTATATCAAAATCCGTTGGCTTGATTTTGTCTGCAGGAGATAATGCATGATCCGCAGTTAGCGGCCGACGGGTTCACTTACGAGGGAGAAGCTATACGTTCGTGGTTCAAGAACGGGCACATGACTTCTCCGATGACCAACCTGAAGCTAAACCATCTGCATCTCACTCCTAACCACGGTTTACGCCTCGCGATTCAAGATTGGCTCTGCAAATCTCGACTATACATGTACATGTAGATGTTTCCACTTGTTGTCCGTCTATGTAACATAAGATGTTTTTGCAATAAGCGATGCCAAAATCTGATCATTTGGTCCAAATAATTCAGTCCTTGTATCCAATCAAAAGCAATAATCTGACAGTTAAGTTCTAACCATAAACTTGTTCAGATGTTCCCTGCAATGGCGGCCAAAGTCTGGTGGGAAGTAACAGAAGAGTGAGAGTGAGAGTGAGAGAAGTAATGAAGGGTTCAACAACAACAACAAAAAAAAGACAGCTTCATAACTTCCATTAGCTGAAACTGATACCAACTACTTACCGTACACTTGAATTCCTTAGCATTTACTTCCTCTAATTCCAATAAAGTTAGCAGTTGCAACTCCCAACCAAACCCTAAACCCCACCCACAACCTCCTTTGTGTCCATCTCTTCTATATTGTCGATGTTTCACCAAATCCTATCTATTGGCCTAGAATGTGATTCTCTTACATATTCAGTTCACCATCTGTTATGTTGTGACTGTCTGAAAATAAGGTTTTGTTTTAAAAAAAACATGACTTGAATCACTTTTGAGACTTTGTTTGATTGATATAGAGAGGCAAAACTTTTTTCTTTTGTGTTTATTCACATCGTAATACATAATAGATCTGAGCTGAAGCATATTTCTCCCGTGTTTTCGGGTTCAAGGGTCCAAGCTGAAACTCGTTCATCAGTTCGAACCCTGGGCACAAGCTCAGTTTTTTATACACAAGATTTCCACATTCTTCCTTCTAAAGAGATCACTATTATGGAAACATCATCGTGGTACCGTCTCCGTTCCCCTTGTGGAATCTCGAGCAGTTCGTGGAAATCCATACCTGGAAAACACAATACGATTATGATCAGAACTTGATTCGTCGATTAATCGAAGGCAACAATCTTAATCTGCCATAATGGTTTTATGGGGCAGATACCGGCTTTCTTGGCAGCTCGGAAGAGAAGTTCCTCGACAAGGTGCTGAGCCGGGTCACCCTCAGGCTGCAGCGTGATGAAGAGCTCGACTTCTGAGACGGCTTCGTCGTTCGTGAAGTATTGGTACAGACCATCTGATGATAGTATCAGAAACCGATCTTTCGGGCCTAATCTGTGGTGGCAGAGAGACGGCAAGCAGTTGATGTACGGAGATGTTCCTATGTAATCTATTCTAAACATCTCGAGAAGGGCATCATTCCATTTCGGCTGCGAGAGAAGCACGTAAACCAGACTTATTAGAATGAAACCCAGAAGATTTTCCCGGAAACAAACAGAAATTCCGACGGAATGACAGCAGAAATATACGTTTTTCTCTCGCCAAATCTCATATAGATTCCACACTCCTAATCTTAATGTTCCACATCAAAAAGATCTAATCATATTCATATATGGTCAGGAGCTAATATATGTGTTCATACCTGCTTGAGAAAACCAGCACCAAAAGCTCTCGTAACCTTCAAGGAGCCTTTCACCCGTTCATTCGAGACGGCATTAGCATCATCCGGATGCTCATTCCTGATTCTCTCGGCTTCCTGAAACACCCAATAACATAAAAAAAAATACCGTATTTGTCAATTGTACATACGCAAATACTTCATCTCGTGTTTCATTTCTGCTGTTAAGCCCGAGCTTAAGCTCCATAGTTTTTACCTCTTCTAGGTTTGTGCTATGATCAACGGTCAGCTGAGAAGCTGATAAATTCGGGGCCAGACCGGCTCGTTCTCCTTCGCAACCTTCGAAATCATTCATGGACTCTTCATTGATCCGTTCCAAGTCCTGTCTTATCTTCCCTAACCAGTAATCTGGCTCAGCTTTCTGCCCCAAGACAGCTCTACTGTCACCAACGTTCATGACGTAAACATCTTCACCTTTCATCAGCATCACCAGAACACAAGAACCCATCAATGCTAGTTCAGGATTTTCATCGAGCATCTTGTCTGCAATCTCCAAGTACGCTTCTTCCGTCTTCCTCAGAGCTTGTGACAGAGCTTTCAAAACATCCGAATGGTTTGTCGTTGGCGATCGCTCCGACCCATTACTCCGATTCATCTGTTCCTTCAATAGACGGTCCAGATCGAGCCTCTCCCGGTCCCACTCGCACCTCCACCGTCGCTGATTCTCCTCCCACTTCCTCGACGTTCGATCCTTGTTCTTTGATTTCTTCCCCGATTTGCGCGTTCCCGTATCAGAGTTCCCGCTCCGACTAGGATTATTGTCCGTATCAGCACAGTTCGAACACGATTCATTGCCACAGGTCCTCTCTGAGTCGGTCTCAGGGGGAGATTCCTGAGATTTCGGGTCGATCTTCGGATCGTCCCATAACAAACCCTTGAGCTCCCGGTGAACAGCCGGATACAGATGCGAGAGCAGATAGTCTGGAGCATCTGGACCGTTGAATCCGTCGTATATTCCGACGAAAAGCCACCCGTGTTCCTCCGACACGACGACATGTACACGATCCTCGCCGGCTTTCCCTTGAGCCCACTGAAGGTTCTGGCTTTCGAACGAAACGTCGTCGTCTAAGCTCCCATCGCTGCTAAAGTTCAAGCTATTGACGGTGAGATTCTCGTTGTGCTGTGTTTGGTGGATTCGGGTTTTATCCGACCCGAAGACCCAATCGGGTTCTTTGACTGATATCACTCCTTTGATCGGAGCAACGATCGAGTTCTGCCCTCGAGCTATCGTCTTCGAGATTGCTCGCCGGAGGACCCGAAACAACGACCCTTTCCTCGTCCTGTCCCGGAAAGCTAGACCTCCATGGGAGACGCTTCGTTGGAACTGATCGGAGCCAGGTTTGTCAAGCGGGCCAGAGAATAACCCTACCCGATCTAACGGACCCGACATGAAATTCCTCTCGATTGGACCCGAGAGGAACCCTCTCTCCAGCGGACCCGAGCCCGGGACAATCTGATCCGAGATCATCATGCTTCTCGGGATCGGTTGCAGAGGGATGGACGAAAACGACATCGTGCTCTCGAATGCGGCGGCTCTGTCCATGTGTCCGTACGAATCGTAGAGGGAAGTGGAGAGAGCGGTCGCCGTGTTAGCGCTAACGGAGGCGCCGGAGATTGTACGGAAGGTCGTTGTCTCTTCCTCGGAGTGAACCTTTGAAGAAGAAAGCCGAGTCGTGTCGGGTCGGACGTAGCAGAAGGAGTGACCCAAGCCTTCATCGAGTGGATCCGGAAATAGGACCGACATGTCCTTTTTCCGGCGGTGTTCTCCACCGGTGAAACACACACTTAGCTTTCCGACACCGTTACCCATGAAGAAATAAATCCAATCCTTGTGACGCACGAAGCTCAATCCTCTTCACAAGTATCTAAAACAGAGAAAGTGGAAATCAACGTTCCTGGGGAAATTCAAGCTGAAATCACACCAGAGGTTGTTCATCCATAGCAGAGATGCAGAGACAGAGGACGAAGAAGATGAGAGAGAGTTGACTTTTGTGCGCGGAAAAAAGGACTTTTACGGGTGGAAATTAGAAGGGAAAGGAATATAAAGAAAAATAAACGAGATATTATTCCGTAATCTGAAAAGAAGGAAAATAAAAAAAAAGTTTATATGAAAGATGAAGAAAATGTGTCTTTTTCTAATTATTGTTTTTCTGGCAATTTTTCAATCGACTTGTTCTCCGTCGTGAGGGGCGTTGACTAATAAGAGGGATTAGGGGTTTTTTGAAATGTGTGTCTGGTAAACGTCCCACGCTCTCAGAAGCGCGTGGACTCACGCACTCTTTGGATTTTTCTTGTTCCTAAAAATATAGGTCATATTTTTTGACTGCATCAGTTTTTTTTACAATTAAAAAATACCAATCAATTCGGAAAAATGAAATCGACAATATCTTTCTATCGATTTTGATATTTTTAATGACACAATAAAGTCGTGTTTATACTATATAGATTCATATTGATAAACAATATATTTTAAATAATTTTTTAAAAGACTACGTATATAATTTGATAAATCATTGTTATAAGCAGATAATATTCTGCACAGAAATAAATTATAAAATTTTGGATTTCTTAAACATCTAATTAAATTAGTTCTATAGATATTAGCCTAACCTAATGATAATCATATTAACGCAAACATTTGGGTAATTTTTGGGAAAAATATCCATAATCACCTTGAAAAATAATCATTTTATATAGTTTCCATTGAATTGTCGAAAGGAAAGTGTTTCTGGCTGAAATTGCTCGCGTAGGTCGTTCCACATATTTCGTTATCACATGTTAACGTAAAAAAAAAAATCCATGGAAATCATCACCCGATAAATTACGGAAAAATTATTGCCCACAATTCCAACACATTTGGGGGGTTTACACGCGCAGGATGGCGCGTGAATTTCAACTGTAACTTGTGAAACGTCAAACTGACAAAACTTAGGCCAAGACTTGTTCCAATTTCGTTTCCTGTTCTTTGGAACCTCTGAAAGTCAAAGAGCCACAGTTTCAACCCATTTTTTTATTATTTAAGAAATAATTACTACGCTAGGGGAAGTTGTGCCGTCGATCACCGTTGGATCTTGTGCAAGAGTTCGAGATGGAATTAGAGACCGCCACGTGTCAACGCTTTGGGCCACTCTCATGATTCCCCTCTCGCGCAGGTTACCGTCACTCTCTCTCTTACGTCATAAATATGGAGTTTTGCTTATATATATATATTGGATATGAGTTGGTTGGTATATTTATTTACTTTGGTTGGGGTGGTTGTGATAATTACTACTATTCCTAATCACGCCGGTCGAACTAGAGTGTTTGACTTCCTCTCCCTTTTCCTCTTTTGACTTATAATTTCATAGCAATTAACCCAAAACACACGTAATTATTCTTATTTATTTATATTTATATATATATATATATGTGTGTGTATATTAATAGGGACAGGCGGCGGACGACCCCCACACACACACATGTAAAACATTCATCGAACACACATGCAAACATACGTAATAAATTGGGCTTCGACTACCACCCATATGTACACACACAAAACACTTATCAAAACGCCTACCAACCTATGTGATAAATTGGACTCTATATCTCTATCGTTACAGACTTATATAATATATATATTTGCTATAAATTATTTTTTATTAACTATCAATGTTGATTAAAAAAAAAATCAAGAATCCCGTTCAATAATAAATAATGATCCGATTTGTGTGTGTGTGTGTGTGTGTATTCATATTTGGTTGCAGTTTGCCAGATAAAATTATTTCAATCTGTTTCTTTTGTCGGAAAATATATAAATTTAATTTTTTTTTTCTGTAACTCAAATATCTGGCTAGTTGTCAACGATAATTAATAGACGATACATGAGAGTTGTAAAGTTAAATTATCTACATATTCATGTTTGATATGAAATATTATTGAGCCTAGTGGTTATTACGATGTTAGTAATGGCCATAAATCTAATAATGTACTATCAAATAATTGATTGAATTTTTTGTGTGGTAAAAGATATTAACTAATTTGAGGGATATAAACAAAGAAGATGTATAACTATATAATATTGATATATTATTATCGTTTTACGCTAAACAATCATATTAAAAATCGTTTACTTGAAAAGTACATTCCCAAATCTTTTTTTTTTCAGGTTTTAAACAGCCCCATTAGTAGGACCAAATTATAGTTCATTAAAACTGAAATCCAAATAAATATTTTTGTGTTACTAATATAATGGAACTTTTTAACTAATAATTAATTTAGGAAAAAGTTAATTATATTAGGGACACGTGGCAAATCAGGGACAAGTAATTTTATGGATTCATAGACGGTTGAGAAAGTGGGTGATTGCATTTAGGGACAGGTAGTTTTACGAACCAACTTCTGCCATTGCATTTATTTAACTAATGCGAAGGAAATGATGTTATTAGGATTAAGGGTTTGATTAGCTAAAATAGTTAAATATCGTTTAAATGTTGGCTTCAAGTTTAATAATCATTTATTTTACTGGTAATTAAAGAATTCATACTCCATAACCATTCAAAATATATATTGTAAATGGAGTCGAGCCCTCCTCCAATCCCTAAACCATAGATCTCAAATCACGTGCTACTACTTGAATATTATATATTCTTCCATTATATTTGTATCTCTTCGTATTTAATTCAAAATCGTTGAATATTTGAACTACATACAAAATATTAAAAAAAAAACTCCAGACCAAATATAATATTAATTTTGTTATGATGTACATGTGTATATATAAGTACACGTGTGTATGTGTGATGAATATATGTGTATATATACATACACACATTGATAGATAATGGCTTTAAGCCATGTGACGGGAACAAATAAATGAATGGACAATATAAAATAACATTGTTCTCTGAAATCTTTAGTTGTATGATATTTGGATATATGAATTAATTATACACACATATATATATATATATATATATATGTTAAGTATATGTGGGTTTAGTTTTTGATTAGTGGACTTTAATGGGGGATTAGTTCGTCCTATTATGAGTTTAGTGGGTCTTTTGTGTCATTTTATCATTTGGTGGATCTTCGGCTTTGCTGGCACTAATGCAGAGTTTTGTTGACTTTTATGCTGTCCACTCCAGCTAATATCAACTTGTCTTGAATTGTATGTATGTATGTATGTATGTATGTATGTATGTATGTATGTATGTACGTACGTATGTATGCATTATTTTATTCTTCAATTTCATTATAATTGTTACCATGAGAAGAGAGAGAGAGAGAGAGAGAGAGAGAGAGAGAGAGAGAGAGAGGATGCTACCCATTAAGCAAACACAATCCCAAGGAATTTTTGTTGCAGCCACCATTGTCATTTTCATGATGAACCCATCACCACTTCCACCACCATATCCACTTACTTACTTACACAGTAAACACATACACATATACATATATACACGTACACAAGATCATACACATATATACCTACATCTATATAGAGAATATAAATGAATAACCCTGGATAATGTAATCAGTCTCAATGTTTTGAATTAATTTACGCATAACTAATAAAAATTATATTAATTTTACGTGTATCTTCCATGAAACCAAATAATATCCCCAACAATACACAACAATTCTCCCTTCCAATTATTTTAGTCGATCAACCTATTAATGATTATAAAGACAAAATGTAATAATTAGATTTTACAAAAATAATGTATGGTCAATTCGTTGTATTTACTACTTAGGCAATTAGATTACATACTACTTGCCTTTTATAAATATCTGAACTTCAACGTACATGCATGGCATATGATGTAGTAAACATTTTAGTACTTCAATCCAGCGATCATATCTCCGTTAAAAAAAAAAAGAGAGAGATTTGGCATTTAAATAACATTATTTACAACATTTATAAAAAAAAATAACATTATTTACATTGGAATTTCGATTTCTACCAAATGTAAATTGTAAGCGACCTGTCAGCTGTTACCGGCCAAAAAAGCGAGATTTTTTTACACCTTATGGAGACCTCTTTTAATGGGCTTTCGTGGGCCCATTTACGTTATTGGACCATAAATGAAAATTAAGGCCCATAGTCATCTCTATTGGGCTAAAGTCTCATCAGACTTGGCCCAATAAATAAAACATTTTGACCTTTTCATCGGCCGCCGCCTTCTCCGGCGGATCCATTTTCTCGGCCGAAAAATTTTCAGTCTCCTCTGTAACCTCCGTTGACTCATCGGAGAGAGGTTGATGTGGCTGAAAC